GACGCTTAACAATGATAAGCACATGGTTGAAAAGAGATTTCAAAGAGCTTTCTAATGGCGTGGGGGAGTCCGTCGTACGATGAATACTGACTGATATACGTTTACGTATATATTGAATTGCGGATGTACGGTTATAACCGTCTTTTTTTGCGTGGCCCACGCTATACGATATGATACTACCTCCATTCCTAACTACTAATGGTACAGTGTGCAGCTCTCTGGTTGGAATCAGCTCAAAGAAATACGGGCGGTTGGAATGCTTCTTTTTGCACTAAACAGATCTATTATGGTGTTATACAGTCATGTAGATTGAATATATTGAAAGTGACTGACATACTTGTGATAGCTACTTAAACAGGGCATTTGTTGGCATATCAATTCAATTTTACTGTCATTTGGGTTCTACTGGTCTTATACACCAGATTCAAAGCCCAGACTCAAAAAGCTTTATCATGATATTCTTATCATACTTGTTAAGAATGTTCTTCTGCAGTCTCAGTGGGTCATTAGAGGAGCTAAATATTGCTCAGGCATGTACTCAGGTGTATCCAGTTTTCATGTGTTTTTTCAATTTTGAGCTGGAGAGAGGGTGCAAAGAGAAGAAAAAGTGCTGTGCACATGATACAAATACAACCCCCTTGTTATTTTCACATCATAATTTCATTTTTAAATCCACTACACCTCCCAATTTCCTCTCTTCTTACCCTTTCTGTCACTTCTTTCCATTCAACTGACAAAGACCAAGGCTTCTTTGCCCTTTGAGCCTTCTTCAAGCCTCGCTCCTTCTCTACACCTAAAGTGACTCAGGAGGGAAGCACCACTGCGCCTAGAGAGGGGGATCCATCTGCATCACGTCTCCATTGGTTCCAAGAAGAGGGGATCCATTGACTGGTTTGCTCTCCATCATTGCTTACAGCATCACATGGCACCTTCATTAACAGGGGGTCCATCCATGTTGCCTCGCCTTGTGCCTCTGTTGCTTCCACTAAGAGGGGATCCATCCTTCTTGTGTCTCCATTGCAAACGCTGGACAGCTTGTCTTGCACCTCTGTTGCTAACCAGTCTGCTCTTCAACTTGCCTCACACCTCCATTGAGAGGGGGAGGGGGGTAGTGCTGGCATCTTGTGTCTCCGTTGCCTCCACTAAGGGGGCTTCCTTGCGCTTTGTGCTTCCAAATTAAGAGGGAGGGAAGCACCATCAGCTGGCATCACTAAGAGGGGGGAAAGGTGCCTCTACCAACCATGCTTAGTACTACAATGACAACAATCAACCCACTACTAATAGTAATGGATCTTCTCTTTGTTGCTTGTTCTGCTGTTTGCTGCTGTTTCCATTCTTTCATTCCCTCACTTTATTGAATATTGCTCCTTTCTAAAGCTAACACACACAAAGATGGCTACAGTAATAAAAGACAAAATAGATCTCCTTGAACCAAGCAAGTTCTTGCTGCCTCCTCCTGCAGCCATTACTCCTCCCTGCTCAAGACACAACTTGACTAACAATCAAAGACAGGCTATTCTACAGAGCAGAGACTGCTTCTACATCAGAAATAGAATGGTACACTTGCTAAGGGTGCTTACAAAAATGCTGCTGAAGCATTCAAAGTTTTCCCTAGAACTTGAGCAAAAATTTGGGAACTATACAAGGAAACTCAGGATGATGATACGTGCCCAGCTTGTGATGTGTCAAGCAACAGGTCCAAGTGTGGTAGGAAGCCAAAGGACCTTGCAGATCTTCTTGAAACAATCAAAATTATTCCATACAAGCAACAAAGAGTAGATCTAAGGACCTTATCAGCAGCAATTAATATTCCAGTGACAAGCTTGCACTGCCTTGTTTGACGTGGAGCAATCAAGAGATACAGCTGAACATTGAAGCCTTTCCTAAAAGAAGCAAACAAAATGGAACAGATCTGATTTGCCCTGTCTCATATTGATAATAATGGCGTCTTTGAGCCAATGTATGACAAGGTACATGTTGACAAGAAAACGTTCTTCATGAAGGAAGAAACAAGCAACACATATCTTCTTGATAAAGAGCTTGAACCAGTTGACAAGACACCTTCAAAGCAGCACATCAAGAAGGTGATGTTTTCATGCTCAACAGCAAGATCAAGATTTGATTGTAGTAGGAATACTTGGTTTGATGGAAAGCTTGTTATTTGGCATATTGTGGAGTACAGACCAGCACAGAGATCCTCTGTAAATTTCCCCAGAGCTACAATTGAACCCCACCCTATTAATGTCAATGAAGAAGTGCACAGGAATCTCATGATTGAGAAAGTTCTACCAACTCATTTACGAGAAGTTCCCCAGAGGCAATGGTCTTCCAAGGTGCATCATCCAGGAAGACAATGCTAAGCCTCATACACTTAACAACAGAGCAGCTGTAATAGCTGCAGCTCACAAGAACAACTGGAATATTGTAGTGAAGCCMCAGCCACCAAACAGTCCTGAATTCAATGTTCTTGATTTGGGATTTTTCAATTCTATCAAGAGCCTTCAGCACAGAAAGAAGTGGTCTTCTACTAATATGGACACATGGATTGCCAATGTGATTGCTAGTACATTTGAAGAATCCAAACATGAGAATCTAAATAATGTTTTTTTGTCACTACAGTGTGCAATGGAGGATTCACTTGGTGTTGACAGAGACAACACTTACAACAAGATTCAACACCTTGGGAAAGCTTCCAGTATCAAGAATGCTCCTTCTGGTGACCCAGAAAAGATTGCCTTTGCACATTCAGTACTAGGAGACTTCAACAACAGTACTACCAATACTACTATTGCTGATGCTGGTGGTAATGGTACTATTGGTATTTATAATAATAATGGTAATAGAACTGCTTAATGATGTGAATGATAACACTGTATTTGTAGTACTAGTACTAATTCTACAGGTTCATCCATACTGTACGACCATTATTATGGAAAAAGTAGAGTAGGGCGAACTGTACCATCATTTAGTAGGAATGGAGGTACTAATTTTCAAAACAAATTTTTTCCAATGCACAAAATTACACTTTGGCTCTGAAAAATTATCACTTAGATTTGTTCTTACTGATTCCTACTACTACATAGTAGTACATACCTGACCAGCACCTTCTGGCGTCCAAACCCACCATGGTGACACCCCCTTCTGAAGGGGAAAACCCACCTCCCTGGCTCCACTGTTAAAGACAAGACCACCAACCTAATTGGTATGGCTCGTAATCTTATTCCTTCCTAGTCCCAGCTGCCTCAGCTCCAACTGCTACATCCATCCCTCTTTTTCTGAAAAAATTATTATATAATTTGAAAATATGGCGTTGCCATCATCAGCCTTCGTGGCGCAATGGTAGCGCGTGGGACTTCTAATCCTGAGGTTGCCGGTTCGAGCCCGGCCGAGGGTGAATGTTTTTGATTATTTTGATTAATTTGTTTTTCACACTTCGACACGACTGGCGCCAGGTTGATAGCCCTGCGTACAGATACCAAGTACAGATATGCGAGTAGATTGCCATCATTCATTAGCTCGTGCGACTGATCTCCAATATTAATACTGTATACGCAAAATGCAACTAAAATTGCATTATCATTATAACAAGGCCTTATGAGTGACAAGAAAAATAGCTTACCTGGTATGGTACGTACGAGTACGACACCGTATGATACCGTATTGCTAGTACTACCTCACGATACGATAAGCTACTTCGCTGAGGAAAAGCTATGTAAAACCAAAAACACAAACAACACCTGTACAACACAGTTCAGTTCATCATACTCGTCATCAAATTGGCCAAGGTATCACCGCAACAGCGAAAGCATAGTTATCATCTCCGCTCTTTCAACAACCTGTTGTGCAATTGCCAGTAACAGTACAGAACCACACGCAATATTTGTTAGCAACAGTAGAAGATAGGTACGGACGGCACAGCAAGGCAACGCATCCATTTTATACCATCATGCACGGTAAGAAACGAGAGGAGTACAAGGCCAAGACCCGCGATCCGAAGACAGCTGCCATCCTGGCGAAAAAGGCGGAGCAATGGTACATTCTGATGAAAGAGCTGCACAATCGAAGGGAAAAGCAGCGGTCGAACGAAAGCGGGAGCGAAAACGAATGTGATTCCGAAACGACGTTGAAACTGTTGGGAAAGGCCTTAGAGGTCAACCCCGATCCGTCGAATTTGTGGAACCATCGGCGGGAGGKTATCCTCAGGGAAATCAGACCTGACGACGACAAAAACGACAACCAGAACGATAAAGCCAGCAACATCCTGCACCGAGAACGGGTCCTCACGCAAAAAGCACTGGAGCGCAACCCCAAGGCCTACGGTGCCTGGTTTCATCGCAAGTGGATCCTTCAAACCCTCCGGCCTGCCTCGGAAGTCCTGCAGCAAGAACTAGCGCTCACGAAGCGATTCTTGTCGGTAGATGAGCGAAACTTTCATTGCTGGAACTACCGGCGCTTCGTCGTGGCCTGTGTGTCGGGATCGTGGGACGGGGAGTGGACGGTGGCTCTTTCATCACAGACCGCGGCGACCACGACCCTGATGGGAACGCAGGCGGTGGTGAACAGGGCCTACCACACCGAAAACGACGATGAAGGAGAAGGCTTTGGTTCGGTGTCAGTAGTAATGATTCCAATAGAATCGATGGTATCCGAATTCGAGTTTACMACCGAAAAAATCAAGCAGAATTTCTCCAATTTTTCTGCCTTTCACTACCGAAGCCAGCTCCTAGACTGCTTGTGCCACAACGGCGACGGTAACGGCGAAAGCCCAACCCCTGAGGAAGGGTTATGTTGTCTCGTGGAACGGATCCTCGAAGACGAGTTCCAACTCGTCGAGGATGCGGTTTGCACCGAACCGGATGACCAGACTTGCTGGTGGTACCACGCCATTTTGCTCGACAAGCTCCTGCTTGCGGTGTCGGAAGACGGCGACCACAAGAACGGAAGGACCATCGCCGATTCATGGAAGTCCACACTGTTGCCGAGACTGGAAGAACAGGCCGATTTGTTTCGTGAAATCCTGGAGGATTCCCCGGGCAGCAAATGGGTCATTCTGGGTCTGGTGCGCGTCTTGAACATTCTGAGCAGCAACGACGGTGATCCCGACGGTGACAACGGCGACGAACAAGAACAACTGCTACGGCGACTCATGGAAATCGATCCTTATCGGTCGAAACGATATGAAGAATTACGGACGAAAAAAGAATAGTATAGTATTGCAATCTCGAGGTTCATGTAGAATAGAATATGCAAACAAACAGATTGCATTGCATAGTACCCAAGTGGCGAGGCAGCTCGGGAAAGGACAAATAATGATAATTTCTATGCCGTACTTCGTGTACAGTACAATAGATGTAGGCAAGGAATGTTCCCTTCATTGTGTCAACGAAATGCAGCAACGATAATGGATCCAAAAGTAATAGTACAACTCGTTCTGATTTTTCTACAAACGGGATTGTGCAACGCCGCTGTGCTCGTTGCGACGCAAAGGATTGCATTCATTCATTGCTAATGTTTCATGGGACACATTGTATTCCCAAATCCAATCGCTTCACACCGGCTTCTTCGACAAAACAGCGGTGTTGGAACAAAGGTTGATACAACCTCCCGTCGTTAGCTCGTGCTTTTCCTCCTTTCTTCTGCAGCCAGCGCCATCAACAATACTTTCAACACTACCCAACCGCGTGCGTTTGCCATCCAACCCGGTAAAGGCGGACGTAGAGGTCTCCATCTGGCTGCGTTTTTTCGTCGCCAGCAGCCGCTTACGGGTTTCTCGAAAATCTTGAGAAATTTTTTCTCGGGCCTTGTCCGGATTGGCAACCGACCACCAGCCCCGGCGAGATCGGACCAATATTCGTCCCCCAGCCCGGGAGAGTTCTTCTAGCACCATCCAGGTGATGCGTGTCTTTTCTTGCGTATCGCTGGCGGACCAGTATTTCTCAAAATAGGATTCCATCACTTCCCGATAGACGGTGTTTCCGGGGTTGTTTCGAAAGCATTGGCCCGCATTGTTGCCGATCAAGATATCCATGACCCGGGGGCAATCCACTCCCTCGAAGGGGGGGAGGCCCATCTTGATTGAGATCTCTCGTTCCCTCTGTGTTTTCATCCATCGCACGTGGTTTGCGGTTTTGATTCCCCCGCTCGCCGTCATCGGCAATTGGTCCGCGGGGATTCCATACGCCATGAGCGAATATTTCCATTCGGTCTGCGAGCCTGACAGATTGACAAACACAGGATTGGAAACGCGCAAAATTCAAACAACAATGTGCAGAACACAGAGTGAGTTGCATAAAAAAACAGCCAATAATTGTCCTTTGTCCACATTCATTTCATGATATCAATTATAATGAATAAGTTCGACTCAATGGCTTGGAAAATTGGATAGCCCAGCAGGCAACATTATCGCAGAGAACAATCATTGCCAAGAACGCAGAGCACTGAGAGCATCTGCCGTGCCATAATCTACGTACCAAAGTGGGTCCTTACCCTCACCCGCATAAAGGTCGGTGCAATCAAGGAAATCGCAGCGGAAGCGAACTGATACGTGGCGTTCTTTGGAAAGCAAAGGTGAATCGCGGTGAATTTCAATGGAAAACAGCCGAGAAACTTTCGTATCGTCTTCGGAACATTCGGTTCTTTCAAAAAAGTGGTTTCTCCCGGGGCGAAGCCACCCAGCAAAATCCAGACAACACCAAATTGCTGGGTTGTCTCATCGTTGGACATTTCTTGCAGGAAATATAAATTAATTCTCATGCACTACAGTGCAGTAGAATGCAATACCACACGTACCACGATCAAATGTGAGAAGGATAGATAGTGATATTATGCATAACGCGTCATCAAGGAAAAATACTGTTTTGCTTCGGAGTCAATCCTGCAACAGGAAATCCTCGATTTCTCGGACCACTATTCGATACGATCGCCAGTACTGATCCAATAAAATCATCGTCCATCAACAACCMATACCAGCACAAAACGCAAAACGAAACGAAACCAACAAAAGACACAAAAAGACTCACAGCCGGAGTGGTTTGGCTCCCCCCGCCTCCAATGTTCCCTATTCTACTCATGATTCGTCTCCCCATGCGATCCCGACACGGAAGCAATTGCTGGCAGCCCTCTCGCAGCAGAGCCTGTTCTTTTCCGTCGAGATCGTCGATGTAAATCGGCCTCATCAGGGCCGCGACACCAAAATATTCGTAGGAAACATCGAGGTAGTTGACGAACCGTTGAGCCGCTCGAAAAACGTCGTACTCGTCCGCCCTCAGGAATCTAACTCTGAATTGCTTGTCACGGAGAACGTATTGGCTGTTGAGTCTGCTGGCTTCGTCAAAGGCCCTCTTTGATTCTATCCCCTGGATGGCAATGTTCATTCTTTCGAGAGATTCCAGCATGATTGGTGGAGATGTTTCTTCGGGCCGTAGTTTCCGAACACCGTGGATATCGTCGAAGACGATGTTTCTTTGTTCCGCGGTCATTTTATTCAGATCGTTCGCAACGACAGAGTCCGCGAGCTCCGGATGAAAACGAGAATGATCGACACCGTCGACCCCGTCATCCATTGTTTGAATTGTGTTCGAGAATGGCTTGTACTGCTACGTTTCTCGCTAGAACGATTGCCGAAACTTTTGATATCAAAATCGTTGTATGGCAAGGAAGTTTGCACTCCAAAATGTTGTTTACGATTGTGGTCCCTGCTGTTGAGTACGTACKGTATGAACTCCTACTCGTTTTCTTTTGGCGGTCTTGGTGTAACAGTCTCTGGGGAGTCAGGGGTGGTCACGCGATGATTATCAAGGCTACTGGCTTCTGTGCAAAAGTTTACATGATAGTCCAGTGCAACCGTAGCCAATTGATGATGATACCAGATGATTTTTTATTTTTTCGCGAAACAAAAAGAACTCTGCGCGTGAGACATTGACAACCGTGACTAAGTCTATGTACGTACGTGTATTTTAAAGTTAGCTTAGTATGTACCGGTACGTACCTTTGTTCAGGGGTCATAATTAATTTAGACCCCTGCCTTTGTGTGAGTTTTTACAGCACGGCAGAGGATAAGGGAATTTAATTTTTACTACTATTTTTTTCATTCAACAAAGAGAAATCGACGACCTTCAAGCTCGAGATTGAAATCGCTAAAAAATTCCAAAACGATCACATTTTCCATTTTCCGTTTTCGATGGAAGACAACGATGCTACTCGTACGTATTACTCGTACGATACCGTACGTACGTGCTACTATGAAACGAGAGGTGAGAGGGCATTTTTCGCATTGCAAATTACAATCACCAAATACTGCAACCAACATACCACCCTCCAACAGTCCCTTCCTCTACAAAGCAACGCAAAGAAAGAGCAATTATGGGAAGCAACGGTTCCAGCAACAGAAGGAAGAAAAAGAGAGGGATCAACATCGAACGAGTGTTGTTTCCGCTGGTCATCCTCATGGCGATCGGTCTGCTCTTCGTGAACATCTCGGTCATGGTCGAACACAGCAACAAAGGGAAACGAAGAGGCAGCGACGAGGCAGATTCTAGCATTCGGAAATCAAGGGGCATGAGCGAGAGCAAAGAGAAACAGAAACGCGGGAACGGATCAGATTCCCATTCGAAAGATGTACAGAAAGATCGATTGCCTCCACCCGAAACGAAACCCCACGACGAACCGAAACCAAGCAAGCAGGAAACTCCGCAGACCAAAGCTGCGCCCGGGGAGAACAGCGGCGGTGACATTGACGAACACATGCTTCGGATCCTCCGGCACGTAGGAATCCACAACTCCAGTCAGCTGACGGACCAGGAACTCTCGGCGCTGCCCACCTGGAGCCAGGTCGTGGAAAAGTTTGGAAACAAGGGCCCCGTGATGCTCGGGCGCGAGACGTGTTCCGAGTATCGCTCCAGCGTGGACCGGAAGCACCGAAAACTGGGCGTCGCCGGACCCTTCAGTTCGGGAACACATTATCTCCACACCATTCTCAGCAACAATTGTAAGAGCCTAGAAGATAAAGGCAGGGTCATGTTCCAGGTCCCTTGGGGCAAGCACCAATCCGCCAACTTTCGGCTGGTGCACAACGTCGCCGTGAGCAGCACGCTCAAAAACGACCACAAAAAGAACGAGACCACTGGCAAGCTGGACCACCCACCCCTGGACCCGAAACACCTGAAGGAAAACAAGAGCGTGCTACCGATCGTTGTTGTGCGGGATCCGTACAGTTGGTGGCAGTCCATGTGCAGGGTCCGGTACTCTGCCCATTGGTTCCACGTTGTACCCGATCACTGCCCGAACTTTGTTCCGAACGAGGTCGAAAGAGAATGGTTCAACAAGACCAAGAAGGAAATCAGAAAACACTACAACAACGACCCGTGGAAGGTCGACAACGTGGTGGACAAGGCCAATTTTACGCTCGACAAAACCGTTGTTCCGCTCTGGGTCCGATATCACTCGGAAAACCGGCAGCACAAGTCCCTGGCGCACATGTGGGCCGATTGGTACAACGATTACTACGAAGCGAACTTCCCCCGGCTCATGATCCGACTGGAAGACCTCGTGTTTTATCCCCACGAGACCCTGAAAATGGTTTGTGAATGCGCCAACGACGACGACGACGGCGACGAACAGAAGGCTTCCTTTGAGTACGTCGGCGACGAGAATCTTGAGCTGTCCCTCGAATCGGCCATCAAGGGCAAGGGGGACAAGGTCGACAATATTCATGGAAAGGACCGTACCGGATTGTTGGGCGCGATGAAAAAACACGCCGGAAAATATTCCGACGAGCACCGGTTGACGGGGATGACGCCTTCCGACATGGAGTTTGCAGAGGCCGTGCTAAAAGAATCGGATGTCTTTAAGGACCTGGGCTACCAGCGTCCAGTGCGCCCCAGTGCCTAGGCAGACGGAGATAAACGGATGGATTGGATGCGATCGGATCGGATCTTCCGGCCACTTGTGGTGATTGATTCGATGCATCCCAAATAACAGTTCCATCGGAATCAAAAAAACGATCGAAGCATTTTCATTTTCGACAAGACTAAATCAAATTGCTCAATTAAATGTTGAAGGATTGGAGTACAGAACAATAGACTGGAGATTTGTAAAGTTGAGAGACGCGAATTTCAATCCGATGCCATGATTTTTTCGACGGAAGGAGCATTCCTCCAGAAGGACAATTGGATATAAGCTTCTGCGCGAATGGGTAGAAAACAATGACTCATAGCATTTTTCACCCATTCAGTTCGAATCTAGTGAAGTGCAGTACGTACTTCATTTTAATACGATCCAGTGCAGTTTATCCTGCTGGAATAGCAGATCGGGACAGCCAAAATATAGAAGAGCCTGTCGTAGTTTTAAACCTCGTAGCAAATAGATCTACTATCGATTTTAGCAGTGTTTTACGCATGGATTTGGAACTACAGAACAGTATTCGTTAAAAAATCGAACGCAGTTAACATTGCTAAAGTGGCTCTAGGTGAACGCAAACAATTGTTTTGAAAAAATCTAGTGCGTCAAAATCTTCTCTACCAATTCCGAGCAGAAATTGCTAAAAAGTTTTAGACCTCTCTGACAGATCCGTCATTTGTAGGCGCTGATACAATTTCTTCAATGCAAAAGATGCTGTAGAAGTTCGTCAAGATTATAATGGTATTACTGGATTCACTATCCCGTGTCCAAGCATGCATGTGTTCGTTTTTAAAACAAGAACAAAATAAAGTAGCAGATATAAACAATTAAAAAGATTAATTGCAATGTAGAGCAACTTTGACGTGTGGTGCTACTCGAGCAAGGACCGACAATAATCTTCCTGAGCTTTGAGTCTCGATGAGTCATTTGTGATGTTCGGATTACTGATATCCACCCGATTCCATTCCCAAAAAGGAATGTTGATAATATCCCAACCCATGTGTTGAAACATGCGCTGTTTTAGGCTCGTGGCACCGTTTATCATTTGGTCTTCGGAATTCCAAATGAAGTTGTATTCAAAAATGCGATTGTGGTCGCTCCCCTTCTTGCTCTCGTTCGGTGCTGGCCCCCGGTATTCTCCAACGCTCGCAAGAATATTGTGGTTGGTGGCCGGATCGATGTTGCTCACCCAATGACCGGGGCCATCCACCTCGATTCCAATCTTCGATTCGATGTTGGCAATGTCCACTGAAAGCACCTCCACCGGAAAGGGGGGCATTTGTATATCAAATTCAGTGGCCAAGTCCTTCATGGTGAAGAGATGTTCGTCAACGTGACCGAAATCGATTCGATCAAAGGCCATGCTGATTCGGTTTTGGATCCCACTAGTGGTGGTGCTGATTTCCATGATTCCGTTGCTGCTATCAACGGAGGATCCATCGTTCATCACAGCCATACTAGATGCCCAAGCCGAAGGAAAGTCGTTGGGCAGTGCGAAAGTGTTCTTTTTCCTTCCCAGATCGAAGTCCATCATTATTTGAAGGTAGAGCATGCTGTTGGAATGGGTTGCTTGAATGCCACTGTCGTTGTACACATTCTGGATGTAGGCTGGATCGGGTTTTTCGCCGACTCCAAGTATTCCCATATACAACATTTTGATAAGCTTCGACGGGTATTCACCAAACACGGCGGCTACCCAGGCAATATTGGCCAATTCTTGACGCGTTATCAGCCGGGATATATTTGACACAGTCAATCCATGATGAAGGAGTTCCAAAAAGTAGCGTTCCACCAAACTCAAGAGCCCACTCGGAATGTAGTTGAGCGTTGCCAAAGCCCAAAGGGCGTTAGACATTTCTTGACCCTGGATAAAAGAACTTTTGTCTCCTCTCACATAGCTTTCCATCCTTTTCCGGAGCGTTCCTTCCACTGCATTGAGAAATCGTTCGTGTTTCAATCCAAGAATTCCAAATGCCCAGACAGTATTTGAAACGTCTTGTGCCGAGCACTTCGATAAGTTATCTATGGCAACACCGCGATTGAAAAAGATTGTTGAGTGAAAAATTTGGAGTTAACTCGAAATCAAAGGATAAAAAGAAAATCGAACAGACTCACCGTAGTTTTCAAGACCGGCTTTGGCAATAGCTGCGAAAAGCTTTCTTAGCAGCCCTTCCCCAACGTCCAAATACGAAATTGTGTAGTAGGCCAATTTGCCACCTGTGAACGGGATGCGACAGCGCCGTTCGTATTTGTTCATCGTCTCTCCTCCGAGCTGCGTATGGCGGGCAAAAGAATATGCGAGGTTTGCAAGCCCTTGACTGTTGAATTCATCCAAACCTCTGCCTGTCGTCTCAAGGTTATCTTCTTTTCCCACCAAGTACTCCGCCATCGACCGAAACAATTCTGGATGTCTCATTCCAACCCTAGTAAAGGACCAAAGCACATCTTTGATCTCTTGCGTCTGCGTTCCGAACAACATTTAAAGGACACGAAGAGAATGTATAAGTGAATATAGTTGAAGTTGAAAACTGTACGCATTTCATTGGACCTCGTTGTCATGTAACATACCTTGAATTCATTTGGTCGACGAATCAATTCCGAAGCCGCAGCAGCAAAGATGGAAGTAACGGGATCGCGCAACGCTTCTTCCTTTGTCGGTCTTAGATCGCTGGGTAGCAGCTTGTCGTCGAATGCGTTTGAATATTCCGGAACTACTCCCGCCGTCGCAAGTGCCCATACAGTGTTGCTAAACTCCTGTGGGTTGAACCCGTGGGGGCCAATCCCAGGGAAGCGGGCTACTACCGATCGGTACAAGTCCTCGTCGTAATATTCCATGGTTGCCATCGCCCAGAGAGAAGTGCTCAAATCCTGGGAGTTCACAGATTTTCGAGGGTTAGCAAGTTCTCTCCCAATCATATGGATGAGTCCTTCGTCCTTCTCTTCCAGGCGAGCCATAGCCCAGCACAAATTGTTTAATTCTTGGGACGTGAATCGTCTAAGGTTTTGTTTTGTTTTCTCCAGCGTTATTTTCATTGCTTCTTCCATCAATGCCCGATCGCCTTCGGGGTCGTCACTGACGAGATAGGTGTACGTGTGGGTCAGATGACAATCCTTTGAGGTGGCAGACGTTGTTTGCTTTTTCACACCAAAACCCAGGGTGGCCATCGCCCATGCACTATTGGCGAGCTCTTGGGTTTTGTAACCCTCTCCCTCGCGCCGAATCAACTCCCTTGAGGTATGACGAAGAATCCCTAGGGCGGCATCACTTGCCGCTCCCATTGCCGCCTGCGGCCGTTTGCTAATAATCGTGGCTGCAGCCCAGACACTATTGCTGAGTTCTTGTGGTTTGAATCGTTCCAAAAACCCCGGTTCGTTGTCCATCATGTCGTTGACGAATGGCAGCAATTCTTCTTCGTGGCCTAGATCTGTACCGCTCTTCGCTAGGACCCACAGTGGAATCGACCATTCTTGCGGTACAGCCCCCTTTTCGTCCTTAACACTATCTTTATTGTTGGGATTGTTTTCATTGCAGAGTTTGATGTGTTTCCTCTGCTCAGCTGATGCAATGATGCTACTCACGACGTATTTGAAGACATTTTCGCTTGGCCGTTTCGTGGTTGCCGATGCCCACATCAAATTGGATAATTCTTGTTGCTGAAATCGTTTTGGGTCGAGATCTAAGGCTTTCGAAGACACAGCATCCACCAGCACCCCACACAGCTCCGACAAAGCCGGGATCCAAGAAGAGGCCGATGGCGACGATGATGATGACCCCGGCGATGCTCTGTGTTTAGCAACTTCAAAGATAATGGATCGAACATCTTTACTCTTCTCTCTCAAAAGCTTTTCCGCATTATCTATATCGACTTTGAGAACCGAGTCTGGCGGTGCAATGTTCAGTTTCGCAATGGCCCACACAATGTTGGACAGCTCTCTCGCCCCAAAACATACCCTCCCTGAAGAGGATGGATTCATTTTTCGGTTGTTTGATTTGTACTGTGACTCATATTTTTCGGCTCCGTCCAGGAGAGCTTCTGACGTGCTGCAAATCAGGAGGGCAAAGCGAGGATCAGACAAAATCTTTGCCCGCTCGTTGCCTGGAAGGTTCTTGGTGGTATAGAGCGTCATATGACGGGCGATTCGGTGGATGGAGGTCGAAAAATTGACAGTGCTCATGGTCCCCCCGCCTGCCACAGACGAAAGGGCCCCTTTCGTCGACGCCAGGAGGCTGAGGACGCCCTGAGCGGTTTCTTCTTGTGTGATCTTCCGGTTCAGCTGACCATATTCGTTTAGACCACCCCCCTGGCGTCGCTTGTATCCGTTGTTGTTGCCTTTGTTTTTGTTACGACCATTTTTGTGATAGTTGTGCTTGCCTTTGTAATTCTTTCTAGTTCCTTTTCTGTTCGGAGGATGCGCTTGTTGCTTCGTAGACACCGAATGTAGCGGTAAATGAGGTTCGGTCGTTCCTCTCGTGACACTTTTGAAACGTCGTCGATTTCGTACGCCATGGTGTATTATAGACGACCGTCCATTCTGACCAAATGACTCGATTCCGTATATGCAGAACCCCGAAAGAATCAGAGAAAAAAGGAGAATATTATGTCGGGAGGCGCCGTGTATTCCACTCAGCAAGGAAGTCGCATTATCATTGTTCATTGGCGTTAATACAGGGGCGATTCGAATCCTCTTCTTCATTTTTTCGAAGTCGCTGGTCTGGTTTCAGCAATGCAAACGTCGTTTTTCGAATGTTTGATGGCTCTAATCGAGTCTTCGCGAATTGAGATCAGATTTCTTCCTACAATTGATGTCAATTGAGTGTGACACTGCTTCGCCCTTCGAAACGCAATACTGTAGCAAACGAAACGGTGGGGTACTGCCCGTAGTTGGTCTTCCTGGCTTTTATGATGTGGTGTTTCAAGGACGTACGGTAGTTTACGTCCAGAATTTCCAAAACTGGTCTGTTTCCACAAACTGAAAGAATTTCGTTGATGTGTCGTCGTCTCATGTTCGTATTTACGAAGTATTTCCTACTACAAGTCTCTTGCAGTACGAGTACACCCTACCGTATCGACTCATGACATGCGATGTTGTGCTCGTGCCCTCCTTGTTGAATTTCGCGTCGTTTCGAATGGTGCATTGAACGATAAGGTTATGAGCCTTGTGGATCGTAACCGGGATTCACAAGACTGCAACGCATACGTACGTACCGGTACGCTTTTGAGAAACAGAGACCATCCTCTACGTATCTTCTGTACATATATATGTTATCTACATACACAATACTGTATTTATTCTACTCAGACGATCAAGACGAAGTCCAAACACACGCAACTGATGATAGAACAATTTGATTTCAACCAGACACCCTAGCCCCAGTGGACTTTAAAGTTGTCATTCATGATAGACAAGAAGAAAGACAATCCAGGACTCTACACAGTAAAGAAGGTTTTTATCTGTTGCCAGCACTCGAACACTACAGGAACTAAACCAGTCATCCTTTTCTTTCTTCTGTGTCTTTTCTCGCTCAAGAGATTCGCACAAATTTGTCGCCGCTGACTCCACCATTGTCGTCCATTTTGGGATCTGGTGCGACAGAAACTCTTCGAACTTCGTTGTTGCCATCGGCAGCATTGTCGCTATCGCCCGCTGTGCCCACGTTTCCTTCGGGCCGCATCATACGGTTATCATTTGGATCTCCGCCGAGCACGCCGTCGTCGCTGATGCCTCCCTTAAACGAAGGCGTGCCCTCAGTGATCACTGGTCCGGCAGAACGTACGGTCGTGGGAGGGGTGGCTGTGTTTCCGACCTTGGGTGGAGGCGATGCAGCAGCAGCATTGCTAGCAGTCAGCAGTTTCTTCTCCAGATATTCGACTCTGGCCTCCAAGGCCTCAAGTCTTGGCATCAGAGACGCCATAGCCGTTTCGGAGTATTTTCCAAGCACATCTACCTCTAGGTTGACCTTTTCTCCAATCGCTTTATTGGGAATCACGATTTTCTTTTGGGTGTATTCCACCAGCATGAAACCAAAAGTGCGGTTTTCGACATCAACGTCGACGACCGTCAGCGACGTTCCGTCGATAGCGATAAATCCTTTCGGCACGACATACCTCACGATAGCATCGGCGAACTCTTCGTCGACCTGGACAGTGATCCGTAGGCTGTCCCCGTCCACTCGCTTGTCGACGATTGTACCGGTCCCGTCCACGTGTCCCTGAACGAAGTGTCCCGAATTGCGGCCACCGATTTCGCTCGCGCGTTCGAGGTTCACTGCCTGTCCAGGTTGGAGGGATCGGAAGTAGGTCTTGTCTAGGGTCTCCGGAGCCAAGCCTACGGTAAAAGTTCCATGTTGATCATCGAGGACCGTTGCTGTCAGGCAAACACCACTGACGCAGATGCTGCACCTGTTTTGTCGCGTCCAGTATATGTTGTTTTGCGTTTACACAAGATTGTGCCAAGAAAATGAAGCGCCACCAAAAGTAGATAGTAGAGTCAAATAACACGTGTAGCCAAGTAGATTAAAAAATAGTAAGAAAAGAATCACACAATCGAACTCACCCATCGAACGAAAACAAATCATGGCCGATCGAAAGACGAATCCGAATAGCAACAGGAGAAAAGCCTATTCTCACTACCTCAAGCTTCGTTCAAATACTGGCACAAATACTGGCACAAATCGTCGCTAAAAATCTTGTGACAAAATCGAACACAATGCACAGGCTTAAAACGCACCCCAGATAGGCTCCATCCATGACGACACTTCCACGAACGGTCAATTCGGTCCCACTTCCGATAGATCCGTCCCACAAGGTCATGTCGTTGCGGTCCTCCATCTTTACAACGGTTCCCATCTCTTCAACAATGCCGGTGAACATTCCCTGTGCAGAATTTTGGTGGTTCATCGTGGCGGCGGTTGCCGCTGTGGTGGCTACAAGCGTCGACTTCGGGGCAAACGCATGGGTGGTCGTAGACAGCAGCGATGCCGCCAGGGCGAAAACAAAAGAAAAATTTGTCATGATTTTATGTTCTTTGCTTCTTGGTTGTTCCTTATGGCGGACAATATAGCTTCGTCCTAGTAGTGCTGATCTGTTGTTGTCGTCTTCAACAATTTGGTTCCGTTGTATCCAATTTCCAAAAACTATTCTGTTTCAGTGAACAGATCAACACTGGAAGGTTCCACATTAGAAGTATTTAATTTCGCCATGTTGCGGTCACTGACGCTCTTTCTCCTACTCGTATCGTATGGTACGGTACTGTATTCCTCTGTCGACGATGATGGATCGGATGGATCGATCAACAATAGTTCTCTACTGTTTTTGTCCTACGTGTAGGAGTATGTACTCGTATTACTCGTTRTGCCGTACCGGTACAGTGGTACCGTATTTTCCTTTCACAGTAGCCCCAAAAATCCTTGCATGCGTAAAGCGCGTGCTTGGGGAGAACGGGAAACTATTTTTCCTTTTTTTGTGTTTTCGGGACGACATAGTGGGCTCCAGTCCTGCAAGGTAAGTGGGTCTTGATCTAAGATTTAAATTGACGAGATTTCAATTTGGTCGTTACTTTGCTGTGCCCGATGCAACACGACATGCTCGAGCAATTTTGTAACGTATGGAAACCACAAGCGAGTACGAGTACCGGTACGTACGAGTACCTCGTAGCGTAGGTGGGACTAACGGTACATAGATTACCTGTACGAGTACGGGTCCGTCCCTAACTACTAACGACATCCGTTTGTTTAGCTTGAGAAACTCGGAGCTTCACATTTTGTTCTTTTTGTTCCAAGGATAGTTCGATACCTTACGATTCGGTGTTCGAACTTCATAGTGACAAGCAAGACCTTGCCCGAACATCTCGCGAAACAAAGCTTGTTTCTTTTCGATCAATTCCTATACATTGGTCAGTGAAGAGTGCGTCGTATTTCTAAACAACAACAATACCAACAATAAGCATGATTGGGATAGCAGCTTCCCCCCTATTTGCCTTTTGCTTCGTGCTGGCTCTAGCGCAGACTGGTGTTGATGCTGCCGGATCTCACAAGCACCACCGACGCGACAAAAACCCCGCCAAAGAACGCGGCGAATTTTGCAAGGATGTTCCCGATCATAAGTGCGACCTCGTCGCCAAACATGGGGATTGCAACAAATTCACGCCAAGCGGCGATTCTTTCCAACACTCGGTATGCCGTTCGACCTGCAAAGAGTGCGGTAACAACGTTCCTGATGAAATTTCCACCGAAAACTTATGCTACGAATTCGGCAAGGAAAGCATAAATGTCAACTTCAGCAACAGGTGCGTTTTGGTCTGTTTCCTCTCCCCTGGAGTTGCAAGGAAGAATATAAGAAATTGATGAGTACACGAAACAAAACAAGAAGAGGATATGCGACGAATGGGCAAATAGACAGATATCTTACGGTGTTTTTATTTTTGTTTATCCTGTTGTATGTTTCTTGATCTTGAAAAAACAATATGATTCGGTCATTCGTTTCGTTTCTTACTATCGCTAATAGCAAGCCCGACCTAGACGATTGGGTTGGAATCTACCCCATCACTGCTGATGTCACAGACCTCGGAGCACCAGTGTCATGGTTTTGGTTGTGTGGGGGTAAGAAAGCGAAGTGTCGGACCAGCATTGGGTCCGTGACGTTTCCCTGGCTACCCCCCGGAATCTACAAGGCCGTCATGAGCAGAAATCGCGCAACCACGGGCCCGTACGCCAATTATGGTCCTTACAAGAGTTATGCCGAAAGCAAACCCTTTGAGGTGTCGCGGGGAAACATGTGTGCTTCTCGTCGACGACGGGCGGAGGGGACAGTGGCATTGCGCGGAACATCAACGGGCGATGCGGCATAATCATTCACACATCGATGAATACATACCTTACTTCATAGACAACGACGACAACCACAATGGCAATATTTGCGGTTGAGAATGAAGTGCTTCGGTTCGGTCTAACGGTGTAGCAAGGTTAAGAACGGAACCTCTGCCATGACAGGATACGGAAAATTCTATCATAATTATTTTATGCCGGATGTATTGACACGGACACCTCACTTTTCCCCAACATCGAAAATCTGGATCGTTCTGACTTTTTCCGACCCTGAAAATGTTGAGCGAATAAAGTAACTCATTATACTAGAACTGAAATGATGCGAATTAAAATTTTACGCTATTGTGCTTCACTCTATTCAATGTCGCATCTGCTCCTTCATCGCCTCAAATCGATTACCCTTGGGGTGCTTTCGTTTTTGGGTTGAACCAAATCGCTTCGGACCTGAACGACGACCAACCCGGCTTGCTCCCAGCTTCCCACCCTGGTTTTGGACGGGAGGGGACTGACAAAAATTCGGAGCCTGGGATCGGCGTACAGGACTACCAGGTTTGCGCTTCCCTCGATATCAAAAGTCTTCGAAATCAGTCCTCCAAATAGCGAGACCGAAATCTTTGTGGCGTCGACTCTGTAAATGTCCGGCAGGGTGGTGCCATTGCTACTTTTGTTCTCTTCGGTGATGTGGGTAAGGTCCCCGTCTGCTTGTATATTAAAGCCGGGTCCCCATATTTCGCTGTAATTGATGACGGACAAGGCTCGCGGATTGTTGTCGTTGTTGCTATTCCGAACGTAATATTGTTGGCCCTTGATGTTCGAGAGGAGCAAGCTCGTCTTCTCCCAAATCGGGTCCTCGGGCGTTGGGGCATTGTTGGCGCCATCGTCGCCCGTATTGGGATAATAAAAGTAGAGGGTGCAAAAAAATCCTCCCCCAAAGAGACACTCGGTCGGATCGTAGGTTTCTGGCTGGTTGCCTTTCAGCGCGGGGACCGTCAGCTCCTCGATGAGGGCTTGGATATCGCCGCTGCGGCGGTCGTTGGTCGTTTGTGCCCCGGAAATTATCGATGCCGGGCCATTGTTCTCGGAGCGAATGTCCCGGGCACGGCGCTCCAGGACGAGATCTAGGAGTTGTGTGGCGATTTCGTACCGGTCTTTGGGCTCGATGGTGTCGGGGCCGCCGCCGAGTGGATTACAGTGGCCCCTGCCGATGCTCGCAACGGGAGCCTTCAGAGTGTGGGGTTGCAAAGTCCGTGTTGCCGAAGATTTTCTTCCGGCGATCGAGGGAGCAGTTGCGGAAGGCACCACGAATGCGGTTGCGAAGAAAAACGACTTTTTGCTGCTCGTTACCGTCATTTTCGTGACCGTTTCCTTGCGAGCCGAGAATAGCAACAAACCCATGGCTATCGCAATCGTGTTTTGTAGAAGCGTTGTGGCACCACCGAACAAGAGTGCCTTGAATCCTTTCACTCTTCGCCGCCGTCGCCTCCCTTTTGAGCTCTGCGAGACGCTGTGTGTAGAATGCGGGATTACTCTTTCTCTTGCCATATTGTTATTTTGTAGGAGAGGATGGCAGAGGATAGTGTAGGGTACAAGGGAATGAAAGGATTTGTTTGGAATGCACTCCGGGAGGACACATACGGTAGTGTTAGTTGACGCCTATTGAATATGGTACGGTACGGTAGCAGATTGTATCTGCTCCCAAGTGGCTGAAACCCGATTGATTCATCTCGACGATTTAAAAACGCAATACCGTACGGTACGTACCGTACAGTACTACGGTACCGTAGGCGTCAAAATTAGTGTTCCAATGGAATCCCGCATAACTCGGGAGTGGCTCTGAAAACGTCGATCATCTCAATCTCAAAATGCCAAATTGAATGTCCGCCTCAATTCATCGTCTTTTTCGAGTTTTGAGAAAGACTTTCTGCTTTCGGTCTCGAACAAATTGCTTCTGGGTTTCTCGGTGGACTACAAATACGGTGGATGTCTGAAAGTAGAGCAGCAGAGGCATGTCAGAAACGCTCCTGGTGTAAGATAAGAAGATCGAGAAGAGTTCCTGTTTTCTAACATTCACCGCATCCCACCACAACACGATCTCTCGCCCGATTTCGATTTAACCCGTAGCGAGCCAACTCGATCCGCCCGCACTTGTACAGTGCCGCAGCTGACGAAAATTCGATTTCGAAAGCAAACATGTCGTCGCAGCTCACAGGCCGGCGCCGAGCCATTGTCAACCGAAACAAGAACACAACGGTTGCATCGTCTCCAACGACGAATCAGAACCAGAGCAACAGCGTAGACACGAGCAAAAAGAATTACCAGCCCGCGAACAAGCAACAAGCCAAGCTCCAAATGCGCATCTGGGTACTCGCGATCCTTGCTTCTTTGATGTTTGGGCTCGCTGTGTTCTTTCAGGCAACGTCGGGATCGGCGTCTTCGATTTTCTCACAATGGGGCAGAAGTCATAGTGCTTCTTCAAAAAAAAAAACGACGGGGAACTGTGAACACCGAACCTATCCCGATCGACGATACTATGGCTTGAACGATCGACCCCTCCCAGACTTTCTAGATACGGAATATGTCTACGGAGAGCTTCCAATCATCATACCTCCAAAGGTCGAATCGTCCAAGCTCTGCGTCGATCAAACCGAATGGTACGACCCCCACAACACCGAGAACGGGAAGAACAACAACGACGCGATCACGCCACCAGCGCTTCCGTTTGCCGATGGCACCAACCCATCCATTCTGAAACTCGTGGACAATCCCAGGATCGATCCTGCCATCCGTGATTTTTTCCAGGCCGGCGACAGCAAAAGCAGCAACGACCCTTCTACCGCTCCTTATTATCTTGCCACCATATGTATGACCAATTCCCAGTGTTCCTGGAACGTGAGCCCCGAAGAAACGATTGGGTTTCGGTTGTCTACCCTCACAGAGCCGGCGACCGTCCGGACCGTCCTGCTGGTACTCAACCAGAAGTTTGAAACACTGCGGGAGGCCACCATCCACACGCGCATCGATGCTCACTTTGGGGGCCGGCGCAACAAGAAGGCACCGATTGTCAAGAACCAGCTGGAGACCTATGCCCTGGACGATGCACGGTTGTTCACCCACAAGGGACAAATCTGGGTGTCTTATCGCGAGGGGAAACTCTTCGGATACGAAAAACAGGTCTTAAACCGGCTCCATTTCGGTCTGGAAGATGGACCCAGGGACGACACAACGAAGCTTCTGCGAGCGTCGGCCGACGAACAACAACTGACCGTCACGCTGCTTGCATCGGAAGTAGAAACGCTTTGCTGCGGACGAAACATGGCACTCATCGACAATGTCCACACCAACAAACTCCAAGCCCTCACATGGGTGGACCCCGTGACGGTGGTCGACGTCGATACCGAAAAAACAGATCACCAAGGAGAAGGCAAAGCCAAGGGAAAAAACAGGAGGGCTGCCAGCGACAAAAAGGCTCAGAACATCAGTGCAGCCGCCGTCGCACATGCCATGTCTTCCCATCGACGCCTGGCACAGAAGGACGAAAAGAAACAAAAGAAAAAGAGCCACATGCACGGAACGAACGGATTCATGGTCTACCTGCCCGACGATAAGGAATATCTGGGCATCGGACACGTGCACAGACCCCCCGACCGCAAGCAAAACGACCACGCCCGCTTTGGTCACCACTACACGCACGTCTTTTTCACCATTTCAGACTCGCCGCCCTTTCAATTGAAACGCCTGTCTCCCGAACTGCTGCTGCCAAGCCACAAGAATCCGTATGACGGGGAAATCATTCAGTTCTGGAGCGGTCTGGAACTCAAAAATGAAAGCACTCTGGCAGTGGCCTACGGGATCAACGACTGCGAGGGAGCTGCGCTCGAGCTGGATTTGTCCGTCGTGGAAGGACACTTGCGGCATGTTCCAGAGGGGAAGGAGGTCGTCGACTTCATGATGCCTTTGAAGTAAGCAACAACCAAACGAGGAAACTACGACACGTATAGACAGACCACCAACTTTTCACCAGGGTCTTCTCCCGAATAGTATTGTTGATGAATCATTACTGTAGTCATTCTAGTACTACTTTGGAATTGTTAAGTTCTATGGCTCTGTTCGTACACAAACTAGAGTGGTTTGGGGGGTGGTTTGCTGGAGTGGTTTGGAGTGGTTTGGCGAGGTTGAGAAGGAGGGTTGAGGGGGGCAAGAAGAGGTGCTAATCCTTGTACATGATAGTCAGTAGTAAGGTAGACTGCAGCAATTGCATGCTGGTTGTAATTCTTGGAAGTGGTATGTGCATCATTCTCCTTGGAAATGATGATTCTGGCCTTCCTTGACCCTCTTCTACTTTAAGAGGCTCAATATTATTAAATTTTGTGTGTGCATGTATGGGAGTATTGGGATTGATACTATTGAGAGATGTGCAGTGTGGTAGCTGCATGTTGTTACATTCACTAGTTGCCATTTACAACTTATTTTCCTCTTCTGTAAAGGGCAATTCACTAATTTTGGAGGAAGACAACACCTATTGACCAAATCAGGGTCTCTTCTTGGTTTTTGAAGAAATATGCAGTGTTTTCTTTTCTAAAACACCAAGAAAACAAAGACAACAGTACCAATGGTTCTCCTTGTTTTGAGGGGTGCTTGCAAAACTTTTAACAAAAGCAATTCTACATTACTAACACCAGAGGGCATAGGAGCATAGTATAGTATGGAAAAGCAATTCTGGGATTAAAGTAGTCCAGTTTTGGGGATGGAAAATAATATTTTAGTCCATTTTGAATGACAAGGTGCTCAGACTAAGACAAAACTTTCCCACAAATAACAACAGTGACAAGATAGTGGCTACCAAATACTAGTATTGACCAAAATCCTTCATTGACAGGACAAGGGTCCATAGACAAATTAGCAACAGGCTCCATCAGCAGTAGGATCCACTGACAAATTAGCAAAAAGATCCGTAAATAGCAACAGGCTCCATTGGCAGTTTGGTGATCCATCAGCAAACAAGCAAAAAGGATCCATTTATAGCAACAGGACGCATTGAAAGCAAGACAGGATCCATCAACAGCTCTAAGTCCCATCAACCATGACTAAGTCCAAGTACAAACAACAGCACAGATCTTGCCTCACCTTGAGGAACCCCTTTGAGACCAACAAGCTGAAGGCAGTGACCATAGCAGTGACCCATCCTGAGACTGGAGAAGGAGCAAACAAGGTGGTCTCAGGGGAAAAAACTAGAAGCTGCCTGGTCTTCTCCAGGATTACAGAAGTTATTTTATGTGCAAGAAAAATTTGAAGATGCAATCTTGGACCTGGAATTGAAGGAAAAACTGAGCAGAAAGAAAAGAGAAAGAAAGCAAACACTACCCCTTGCAGGAAGCACAACAGTACTCACACTTGGGGGGACTCCCCACACTTGGGGGGACTCCCCACTCAGCAACAGAGGCAATTGCAGCAACAGTGGCCGTGGAGGCCTATGCAGTTGAGGCAACAACAATGGTGGTCACAGAGGCTACCATAACAACAACAACAACAACTATACAAGCACCTATTGTCAAGTCAACTCAGAAGGCAATCTTGTTCTGATCCCAAAGCAACTGCAGCCTCAAGTATAACAAATTATCCTGGTGTAGACTGGACCTCCAGACCATGTCTCCACCCAATCAAGCTTACCAACCAACTAACAAAGCATTCATCACTGTAGCAACATTGAAGCTTTCACAGGAAACAACCAGTGGTGACATGTGGAGGAGCTAATGCAGGGAACAGAACCAAGCCCTACCAACACAGAGACCTTCTTTGCATTGCCTCCACCACCTACTACCCCAACTCCTGAGGCTGAACTAGAACTACAGGAACTAGAACTATGGGGGCCTATCCCCCCCCTCCAACCAGAATTGACTGAAACAGACCCTTTAATTTATCCCAAATTAGTGATCCTTCAAGCACTCTACCAGGAGAAGCTACCAGTTGTAATTCTAGTGGGTAAGAGTATCCAACAGATTCCCGTGATTCAAACCTATCATGTGTTGCTTGACAGCTGCAGCACCATGTGCCTGACCCACAAGCACTGCCTCCCCCCAGGAGCAGTTCCCTTGGTGGATGCCAAGCAACTACCCTGTCCAAACCACAGCTCAAAGCACTTTCCATACATCCAGATACATATTCATTAGAAAGATGTACCTCCCTGAATTTGTTTCAGGCTAGTGCATGAAGGGGATAAATGTCAGATTATTTTATGCTCCTTACAGCTACAACATTATCATAGGCTGAGACTTCCTCCAAATGGCAGGTATTGACCTGTTCTTTACCAGGCAAACCATTTGATGGCTGGACAGGTCCATCAAGACGAGACCTCCAGGTCATTTTAAGCCAAACACAGAAATATTGGACAGCAAGCTTTCCACGTATACTCACAAACAGATCCACATTAATCTGGTTCCAGGAGCAAAACCACTTTGAAAAAAACATACCCTGCTTTTTACAGACACAGCAAAGTTTTCGAAAAGGAGTACCAACATCTTGTTGATGAAGGCGCCACTACACCTACACTCAATTCTGATTGGGGTTTCCCTGCTCTAATTATTCCCAAGAAGGATGGTGAAGTCAGATGGCTTGTAGACCTCCAGGAACTCAACAAACTGGTCACTTATCCATGTTCTTACTCCCCTGAAATTGAGACATCATGAACAGATGACAAGGCTACAATCACTTCACCAAAATTGACCTTTCCATGATGTTCTATTGCTCCAAACTGGACAAGGAGAGCCAGAACATTTGCACTCTCACTACAGAACACAATAACTACTGATGTGTCTGCCTTTTGAAGTCTACATTGATGATATGGGCATATAGACTGCTAGCTCATTTGAGGAATTCATGCAGCTGCTGGTTGACAGAGTTCTCCTCCATTTAGCTGAAAATGGTATGAAGTACAATCCCCTCAATTGTGAATGGGCTATCAAAGAGTCTGACTTCCTTGGTTACTGGATCACCCATAAAGGTCTCAAGCTCCAGAAGAAGAAAGTGGATGGCATCCTGAGACCCCCTATGAATCAGGTGCAGATCCAATCCTTCCTTGGAGCAGTCAACTACTACAAGTCCATGTGGCCAAGACGATCACATGTCTTAGCCCCCTTACAGCTCTTGCAGGCTCCAGGTCTTACATCTGATCCCCTGCTTGTGACAAGACTTTTAAAGAGATGAAGCCTTTGCTTGCTCAAAATGGAATCAACAATTTTCCTGATTTGAATGTCTGCTTTGAAATTTACACCGACGCATCTGACTATCAGCTTGGTGCAGTAATCACACCCTTCAACACTACATCATGTATTGGTAAAAAGAAGCAGACCAAAACCCAACACAGCTATTCTACTATGGAAAAGGAACTGCTTGCAGTGTTCCTCTGCCTCAGAGTAGTGGAACATGATCTTTGGAGGCCAGCTCAGTACCTACAGCAGTTACCACAAGAACCTCATGTTTAGATCCTTATCCCAAGCCAGAGTCTTCTAATGACGCCTCACAATTGAAGATTTTGGCCTCAATCATTGGCAATACATCTGGGGCAAAGACAATGTGGGAATGACTATGTAATAGTGATGTAAATTGAGTGTTAGAAGAAAAGGGAGTTGATGCTCTTATTGAGGATCAGCAAACTATGAATTCTAAGATCAATCAAAGTGAGGATAAGTGGTGTGTGTGAGTTGAATGAGTCAAGTCAATAGTGAGAATCCATAGGATCAAATGAGTTGTGAATGCAGAGTGTGTAGGAATCATAGACATGTGTTACATGTATGTAACATAGATATGAATCATACCCACAAGATGATATCCTACAGACAGCACCCTCCTGTGATCTTTGATGTGTGAAGCAAGTAGATCTTAGCAGAAGAGACAAGGAAGGAGGATAATGATTGGGTGGAGTAGGAGCAAAGTGACCAAAGAGTTGTTGTACATGATGATTGTGAAGTACCTAGCCAAGAGGTTTTGTCAGTGCATAGGCAGGTCTTATCATGCTGTTGATGAATTGCATCTTGATATTGAGACCTCATTACCAATCCTGTATTGCAAAGTATTGTATGTCAATGTGTCTAGCAGACTGTTTTTCTTAAGTGCCCAGAATAGATCTACGTACTGTCAGAGATAAAGAAAAGAAGACAAATGAGCAAAAGGAAGGCACATTGGTGAACTCCAAAGAGTTAACAGCACCCATTGATATGGAAGATGTCTTCTTCTTGGAACATGAACTATATAAGTGCCTCCTTAAGCTATAACCTGCATCAGAAATAGACAACCCACTGACAATTGAGTCCATACATGCATATCAACTAAATGATCCTCTGTGCCAGCCAGAATCAAGTCATCTATGTAGTAAGAAGACCAATCGGATCATTCAACATACTCACAATCCTTCCCCCAAAGGCCAGAAAGCTACAAATTGACCAAGGACCAAAAGCATGGATAATGTACCTACCAGCTGGCCTGGTTGTACTTGACAGAACACTGCACTGGTACCACCTACTACTATTGGGCCACTTTGGAAAAATCAGGTTCTCATGTAGGCTTGGCCACGCGTTTCCGGCCAAAACATTTGTACATTTTTAATTTAGATACACAGGCCTGTATACCTTTCAATAGTCAACAACCCACTGTAAACCCCACATGACTAAATTTGTCTTTTTACTGGGATTCAATTCATGTGCCTATCATACTTATCTGTTAGCGTGAGTTGACCCTCTCTTAATTTTCTATCTACTGTGCGTCAATTTTAGGCCATCTTTCTACCGTGTACTAATGACTCATGGGATTTTGGTCGCACTTCCATCAAAACTCCTCAGAGGGAAGTGCCGCCCCTTGGAGCAGCTAGAAGCATACTTTCCAACAAAAGCTATGGTTCTGGCCATATAGTGCCTCTTCTAGTTCACAAGGTTACATATAATATTAAGATTTTTAAATGACTCATGGGATTAATAAATCCACCTTGTACAACCAGTACAGCAATTACACATGTTGAAGCAAATGTAAGACAATGAGGAGCACCTGTGTGCAAAACTATTTGGTCACATGACGGTGGGATTCAAAAATTCAAGTACTGAGCATGTGCATTTTGTATAAATTTAGTTTTTTAGTCAAAGTAGTCATTACATAGAAAAATGGGGCCCAAAATCTACAACTGGTACGTACATTTGCTGGTCAAATCTATATGATACGATAGTACCATCAGTGCCAGATCCTTTGCCCCCAGCCTAAGCCATAGGTGCAAGGAATATGAATGCCCAGACCATTGCTACATTGAATTGGCCCAGGCTTGTTATGGTGAACTTCCCCCAAGAGAAGCCCTGCTTATGCCCTGGAATGAAGTATGCATTGATCTGATAGGCCCTTGGAAGATTATCCTACTGGATGAAACTGAGCTAACAATCAATGCACTCATGTGCAGCGATCCAGTCATCGACCTTTTTGAGATCATTGGAATCAACAACAAGAACAGTGAACATCTGGCTGAACAATTTGCAAACTGCTGGCTAGCACAATACCCAAGATCAAACAAGTGCATTCACAACAAAGGCGGCAAGTTTATTAATTCTGGATTCAAGGGTTTACTGAACCAATTTGGAGTACACAGTGTTCACATTACTGTCAAGAACCCACAGACTAATCCAGTATGTGAAAGAGTGCATCAGACTATTGCCAATGTTCTCAGAACCACGTTGCACACCAGCAGACCAAATGATGACTCTGAATTTGATGCTGAGCAATCAATCAACAACATCCTGGCCTCTGCAATGCATGCCACCAGATGTGCTGTGAGCGCATCACTACATACTTTCCCTAGTGTCATGGTCTTCAACAAAGACATGGTTATGGATGTTCCTCTCATAGCAGACCTAATTGCCATCAGGGATAGGAGACAACATCTAACTGATTTGGGCAGCAAGCCTACATGAAATTCTATGAACCAGACAACAAAGCTCTCACAGAGACTTCATGGACCTTATCCCATACTAGTGGAAGTAAATACCATTAGAACAGTGATGCTGCAGAGGAGCCACAATGTTCCTGAGAAAGTGAACTTGGGGAAGCTAGTTCCTTACAAGGGTTAGGTCAATGACACCTTAAATGAGCCAGTCACTGCAGAAGAACCAGAGATCCCATGGCACAAGATGTGATGGCTACAGTTTAGAAATGCTAAGTAGCATCCTCTCTGTTAGGGATAATGCAACAAGTACCACAATGCAAGAGGGTCAGTTGCAAATCCCCAGGCGTGGACCCACATACCTACTACATACCTACCTGCCTACATGTATACCATGATACCTAGTAAATGAGGTAAGAGACTACCAAGCACCAGGAGTTTGTTTGCCCGTGACATGAAGTTTCACTAGATCAGAATCCTAAGAACCCCTGTGGATTCTGTACTTGAATCCAAAGGGACAGTATGTGTCTAAAGTGCTCAACATCTCCCAAGAAATTCAATGACACTTTGAAGATCATACTTCATTTTGAATGCACTTTCAAATACACATTATTTTGTGCAATCAATTTTGCTGCAACAATAGTAGTACTAGTACCAGATCTCCAATCTCTACCAACCAGCAAGCTTGTTGTTCCTTTGGGTCACTTGATCAATTGCTACTATGAGGACTAGTAAGAGAGTCAAATACAGTTGTTGAGGACAAACTTCTTTCTACAAAGGTTCTTCTTCCTTGTAACCACTGCTCTGCTACTCTAGTAGTATTATTGTTTCCTGCTTTTCATCACATCTGGTGAACAGTTGTTCATCAGCATTTAAGGAGGAAGGAAACTATGTTTTTTGTTCTCAACTATCTCTGTCTACAACTTATTTCAACTTGAAAGTGGATCTCTCATCATTTTTCTTAAATCCAACAGACCTGCTACTAGTAAGGAGCACACCCATAATCCATTCAAAAAGTCGTTATCTTATCATTTGATTTCATTTCCCAAAAGATTTGACTATAATGAATTTTTCAAGTGCTCACACACAACGCACCAGTGGTTTAGTGGTAAAATCCAACGTTGCCATCGTTGGGCCCCGTGTTCGATTCACGGCTGGTGCATCTTCCATTTTGCACTTCAAATCTTTTGTTTAGCGGCGCATTCCACGTTCGATCTACTCCCAGCTCCACAAGGATCTTTGATCTCTCACTGATCATTTTCGGAACGATCGATGATCTCACCACATCGACAGCGGTTGTTGCTGCTGTGGTTGCAGTTTACATTCAATCATCTTGTACCTGAAACCACAGCATGAAGCGGAACAGTCGAAGTCGACGATGGTTCGAAGCCACGGTGGGTTCCCATTTGTTAAAAAAGGCGATGGAGCTGGGCCAAAAACACGGAAAACTCGTTGGTCCCAAGAGCGTGTTTCTCCCTAAATGCGGCATTCGTATGCGTTACTACGAGCGAGAAGCACAACCAATAGCGGACGATCAGCACCAACCTCAGCACTTACCAACCCTTTTGTTTTGTCACGGGATATCCGAAGAGGCTCGGGGATTCGGTATGCTGATTTCGGCCATGAAGATTCCACCCCACATCCGCATCCTGTGTCCGGAACAAATTGGCCACGGAGAAGACCTCAAAGCCGCCCTCGACGGCAACCCGAGCAACCAATTCTACTACAAGGAGGCCGGCCGAGAAACCGCCAACACGATGCTAGAATCGACGTCGGAATTCCTGGACGTGGTCCAAGCCGGTCCAAACTGCAATGCCTTTGGGATTTCCCTCGGCGGTGCACTGGTGTATAGCCTTCGGTACAAACGGCCCGAAATCATTAAAAAAACCGTGCTGGTGTGCCCGGCCATTGGATTTTGTTTGGACGATGCCTTTGTCGACAGCATAGTGAAAGGAACCAACAACTTTGTTGATTTTCAGAGCCGAGACGACGTCAAGTTTTTGTTCCGTGACCTCCTTTCGACGGGTCCCTACGAGGACACAGACGCAACCAATCCCGCAGCACCGGCACCAGCAGCGACAACAGCCACGAAGCAACGGAGAAAGAAATACCCAATTCCACCGTTCTTCATGGAAGCTATTTACAGGCAATCTCAAAAGACAACACCAGAAGGCCACTATAGAAAAATGATGCTGGCGTTGCTCGAGACCACCGGCAGGGTGAACAACTGCAACGACGAGGATTTTTTTGGGGATGGCAACGAATGCAACAAACGCGACGACGACAATGCCCGCATTTTCAGGGCCACGTCCGATGTGGATCCAAAGAGCCCCCGCCTCTTGCTCTGGCCCGAGAACGACCAGATCTCCAATTGTGCCAAGGGCATGTTGTATTTCGAGCACTCGATCGTGCCATCGTCTTCGAGCGGTGCAGATACGGGGACCATCTTCGAAACGATCCCCGATTGCGGCCACTGCTTTACCGGAGACGGAAGAATGATATACGACGTCATCAGACCAAGAGTGAAAGAATACCTTCTAGACTTTCACACGCACTAAAATCAATTCTAAGTGTTGTTTCGCCCAACAGTCTCTGCGCCCTTTTTTTAAAAACATGTGTTCATATGCAATACTAGTTTACCGTATTCTTTCGATAGAGAATTGTATACATTGAAACATTCAACAAGTGTCAATATCCCATCACTAGGTTTGCGTGGATCGAAAGGCAGGGCCACCGCGATCGTGTTCGTTCCGGCTAAGGGAAAGAGAAACAAACAATACTGGCAAAATCACATTTGTCGATTAGGTCAGCAAGATCCTGGAACTCGAATGCCGTCGACTCTCGCGACGGGCACGCATTTGATGCCGTCGCTCGAACCAATCTTTCTACTGCGTCTCTAACGGGACAAATCCTCTGTTCGTCCCGGAAAGCTAATCCAGAAGACGACCTGCAATCGCGTTGCATTGTGGTAGATACAGTACTTTAGCTAGTAGTCACGCTTTCGTCTGGCTATGGTCAACACACTTTTACTGTTTTGTTCTCATTTTGTAAAATATAATGAAAATTGTGGCCCAGAAGGGAACATTGACCTCCACAATGCATGATCGGGGCAGTGTGAGTTTTTGGAAGCGAGGCTTGGGCGCATTTGTTTCGTCGAGCGAATTCACCGTATGCGACCAACGGACTCAAACCCGGACCGGACAGCTCGTGACCGCTCCGTCGAGCCCATTGATCCGATAGAGACAGGCCTGGACGAGAAGTCCCAGTCCATCGGCTACAACGATGCCCAGGCATTCCGCGAGGCTCGTGGCACTGAGAGCAAATTCTCGGCGTTCCAGAGGCAAATCGCGGCATATCCGGAGATACCCGTGGATGTACACGGCACCCCCCAGCAAACCAGTGTAAAAAGCCGTTGGATACAAAAAGACGGGACTGTAAACGAAAGCAAAGGAAGAATCATCGCCATCTTCTGAATAATGGTCTTGTTGATGGGCGGCAATAAACCAATAGATCCCAACGTTGAGCACCTGCAGGAAGGGCATCATCCACAAAAGTACCATGGGTGCCAAAAAGAAGGACCCGCTGCTCCTCGATACGAAGACACCGGCCTGGTACATCCAGTTGCTGTATTCGAAAAACGTGTCGCGAGATTCGACGCTGGTCACCGGAAATCCAATGGTGGTCCAGGTCCCACTTTGCAGCGTGTATTCCGCCACATATACGGTGAAGAGAGGGACCATGTAGGGCCACAAACCCAGGACGAGGCAGAATCTTTGGCGAGCATCCATAGCCGAAACGTGGAGTTTTGATGTTGGCTGTCGCGATGATTCGTTCCCGTCGGAATCCAAAGCATTAAAACCAGAGTGACCTAAATCTCCGTCATCGCTTTCGCCGTAGCTATCGTCCCCGGTACCATATGGCGAGGAATCGCTGTCTCCATCAACCAGGTCTGTTTTGCTGTCAAACCGGTCGCTGTCGGGGCTTGTCTTGTTACCGCCGCCCATGCTTTCTTTATCGTCTATTCGATCTCGATAGCCCTGCTCCGTTTCGATTCGTCTTTGTTGTGAGAGATCCAATGATTCTTGCTTTTGCAACCTTCGTTTAATGAGCCCCGTCCCCGTTGCCATTTTCATTGCCCACTGTTCTTTCTGTAGGTATTCGACGTATCGATAGGTGGAGAGGTAAGCGACCGGTAAAATTATTGCCAACCACAATGTGTTCGACAGAGAAAGGCCCAACCGATTGTTCCAGAACCATTTCCAAAAGAAACCAAAAACGCCGGCAAATCCAGTGCCGCTCGAAAACCCGTTGAGGCAAACACCCTTTTCAGCAGCACCGTCTTGCTCCCTGCCGCTGTTGTCGTCGTTCTGCTCGTCAACGAAGCCATCGCCGTCGCAATCGTTTACACGGCCGTCGCCGTCGCATGCAGAATCCGTCGCTGCGCCGTCTATTCTCCCAGCCAATGCCAGCAAACTAGCCTCTCCCAGTCCGCTCTGCAAGCTGGAAAAAGCGACACCAACGAGCTGCCACTGCAGCGTCGAGGAGCTGGCCACCAGGGAAAAGCTTGCCACCATGGAGGCGGTCGAGGCGAACAATCGGCGTTCGTAGGAGACTTTCTCGAACCAGTAGGGTGCCGTGGCCTTTATTCCCAGAGCCGGGAGAATGTTCGCCAAAAAGACAAGGGCCACTCCGCCCTCGCTAATGTTTTTCGCAGCGGCAATCATGATGGTGTACCCCGCATTGTTCAAGAGACCCATGAGCCAGAAAGAGGCTCTCAGACGCACGGCAATGCCACGCCGCCGTTGTTGATTGTGGATCGAATAGTTTGTTTCGACGCTGCCGTGGCTCCAATCGCTTCTCTCGGTGCAATTGCCATCGTGTCCATGGAAGTGGTCGCCGATTCCATCCGATGGCGTCGACGGCGGCAGTTCGAGCGAAACCGGTTCGTAACGGGGGATGTTTCGCTGCATTCGTAGGTTTTGTACCGCACCGGAGTGCACCGTATGATTGAACAATTATTCGTTTCGCTGCGAACAAACTTTGACGGAAGCCGATGCAGCAAACTCGACTCGCCGAGCCGACGATGAAAAGTCTGTTATTTTTCTGCCTTATTCAGCGACCGAGGCGTGGAGAAAGTGAAATGCTTTGTCCGTTGTTCGTTTGGTGTTCCTTGTCGGGGTTTCTCAATTTTTTCCTGTCGTTGATTCCGAAGAACTTTGAGTACAAAATTCAGAAAATGAAATGCAGCAAATTCGCGTCTCCGGACTTGTGCTTTACAGTTCGTACTACGTACTCGTAGTATCGTGCAGTGCGAAGGTCACGGGTCGTATTCGGAGGTACACCTACGTAGGAGCACAGTAGAAGTACTGTAGTATTTAGTACAATACTGTATTACAGTAGTACAATATTTTGTTGTCGTTTTGTCCTACTGTATTAGGAATTCGTACGAACCGTTCCGGTGGAGTCCTCTACGAGTGCCATACGTACGAGTACCCGTACCGGTAGTATGACTCCACGACTTCGAATGTCCCCTGCCATGTGTATGACAACTTATTACGTACTGTATCATATGTATCGTACGTACGTACATACTACTGAATGAGGACTTTGGAAGTCTCCTTTTTCTAGTACCGTAAGCCAAAACGGGCTCAAGTGTTCGCGCAATATGAAAAGGAGTCTCCTTTCTCAAATTCTTGCCGGAAGATTTCTGACATCATCTTCCTAAGTGTCACTCTGTTGACACACCGTTCACACATCATTATAGATGGTTAGAGTTGGTGATCAGTACGATGTTCATCGGTGTGGCACCTATCGCAGGTTGGAAATAACCACAACTGCGTGAAGGCATAAGTTATTTTATTTGTCAGCTAAAACATAGTTCGTAATTATGATAGAATCTGTTGTGGAGTTTGAATACTCGATGGATTCGTAGGTCAACAAAAATACCTACTTTATCCGTGAGATTGACCTGGTATAGTCCTCGCGCATTCGAACCATCTATCAATAAAATCTAATAATTGTACAATATGAATAATTCTGGAAACGAGTAAAGCGCGAAAGGATGCGCTTCTGAAATAGCACTGTTGTAAACAACGCAGCGGACGCCTTCCACTCCGTCTTTCCCAATGCATTTTTCTGCGAACGAAAGACACAGATGAAGGATTGGAATGTACCGTCGTTTCTCCTTCACAGACGACACGATCGTATAAAAACAACTTTGCTGTGCCTTGCGTTGCTCGGTACTTGTTTGAATGAATGAATGGATGAATCAGTCATGTGAAATGTCCGACGGCAGGGATACAGAAGGGGCGCTTTCGGCACCCAAATTCCTCGCGTCGCGAGAGGTTGGCGTAGATTGATTGGTGAGTGTCGTCATTTTCTTCACGCTGTGATTCCAGTGTCAACGTTCGGCGAACGGCTGTCAGTGACTACACGGGCAAGCTCTGTTATTGTCGATGCTTCGTCTCCATTGCCCTGATGTCGGCATTGCTGGCTCGCTACTGCAGAGCTGGCGACTGATACTCCGTCAGCATCCGGATCTTCGTTGTCGGGTGTGGTAATGGTATTGCTGTCTTCGTTCTCACTGTTGTTACCGGGATCTGTCTCGTTGCTTTCTTCCTCAGCAGTTTCGTCGTTATCACTTCCGTCTTCATTACTGTCATCATTTTGTGCACTCTGTTGTTCTTGATCTTGCATACTAGCGGCAATCGCCATTGCAATTTGTTCTTCCTCTGATAGTGCCATCAGACTACTGCTTGCAAAGGCAGAGTGTGGATGACGTTGCCGCCTATACCAAGTCGATCTTCTACTAGCAGCTGCCGAAATAGAGCTGGCGTTCCCATTGTGTATGTCCAACCGACCAGTCAAAAGCGACCGCAACAAAGGAAAACCCTCCTGCTGGTCAAGATCGTTTTGAGTACTACTATCGTTGTTGCTGTTCGCACTCCCCCGGGATCCTCGCTCTCCTTGGCCAATACTATGTATGATGGCGCGCTCTAGTGCTGATAGATCGTCATTGTCATCTCCTTCCAAAAAATTCGCAAGCTGATCCACGTTTCTTGCTGATCCACTTCGCACTCGAAGTAGCCGACGATTTCCAGTGGCTTGAGTTCTTGAGTTATTTCCGCTAGTGCTTCTTCGGTAGGCCCGATCGTTTTCCAGACGACGTTCTTCGGCTTCGGCCTCGATTTTCAGCACCAATGGGTGGCAGTGCTGGGCTTTCATTTCTTCCTCCAATCGTTGACGCTCTTCAGTTGTCATTGCAATCGACTCCATGATTTCTCTATCTTTTTTGGGTGTGCTTGAACCTTCCGTGGAAGCGAAACTCTCCGACCTCTTCTTGAATCTTTTGAAGCGTTCATCCTTTTCCAATTCGGAGCCAAATTTGCTGGTTGTCGTTGGAGGAGTATGCGGAGCGACGGATGCTGTACTCTTTTTCTTGGTATTCGCAGTAGGTTCGCTTACATTGCTGCAGCTGGAACTTGCAGATACAGACGCTGTTGTCATCGAGGACGCTGAGGATATTGTTCCTGGCACCAAAGACAAGCTTTTCTTCTTTGAAATCGTAACAGAAAAATTTTCGCAATTGCAAAACGGACACGCCGAATCCTTTTCTTTTTGGGGTCTCACCTGCAGATAGCACTCAGTACATATAACAGCATTGCAGCAACGAGTTATATTGACAGCACTGTAGGACAAAAAACAAATAGGGCATTCTTCCATGTTGCAACCGCTGCTGGGATCCGGGTACTCCTCTCCTTTGAGCCGAGCGGCGATTTTTCCGTCCGAAATTAATCTTCGAACGACCTTGTCGTCCCAATTGCAGGAACCATACAATCTAATCGATGATCCATCGCAGAGGGACAGAGCGAGACAGACAGAGTGCGGTAAACAGAAAACATCGGAATGAGTCTGCGATGGCAATTGGAATTCGCGTTTTTTTTTTCGAAAGGCTTATGGGGCCTCCTCTCCCTCCTGTTTCAAAGATAAACTTCTTCGTGTGTAGCACTCGGTAGTTTCTTGTTCTGATTATAAAAACAAGAACGAGAAATCAATCAATGCGTACTCGTTCTGTGTTGCTGCAGAAGAATATTAGATCAAGAAGCGGTTACGAGTGCTCGTACTCGTTCTGGACAAATTCGCTATTGTTATTGAAATTCTGTAGTTGAATTCCGACCGATCCATCTATGGTCGCGCGAGGATGTGACGGAGCGGAGTGTACCGCACACATGAAAACGAAAGAAGCAGGACTGGAATCGAGAGAAGAACCTCACTCAGTGCCGGAGGAGCAAGAGTTCGTACGAGTACCGTACGTACGGTACTCGTACAATCCTAGAGCATCCAAAAGTCACTAAAAATCACGAGCCACCAACGACTCAGATCGAAAAGGAATGAATCCTCGACTCACGCTCCCGAACAAGAGAAAACGAAACAAAACCTTACCCGCTTGGTTGGCAGCGTTTGTCGAGCTCGGTACGGCTCAATCCCAAAGACCCGCCATTGCGAGAAAAATGTCGCAGACGCTCAATATCAATTGGTGACGACGAGGAAGAACTCTGATTTCCCATCTTGTTATTTGGTATGTATAGTTTGTCTTCGTTCCAGATTCAAGTAGTTTTTGGTTTGTTCTTGGTCGTTGCTTTTGTGTGGTGTATTCGTAGAGAATTGTGCTCCTATGAGAAAGAGCACAGAACGAGGTTCAAAATTTACGATCACGATGTGCGTGCAGTTAGTTTGGCGAGATTGCAGTAGAAAGTACCAGTATTCGTTCAAGTACCACACTTATGATATGAGATGTCAAGAAAAAGAAGCTGTCAAGCAAGTCTCAAAAACTCTCACGTAAAACTGCCCTCCAACTGTTCCACTACTCCGTACTAATGTACGTACTTTAAAGTACTGTACTTCGTAGTACTTTTTACTACGTACCGTACCTTACAGCACTGTAGACGGGTTCGACTTCGATTACTCGTTTGGAATGTCGAGCATGATAACATAGAACTTTGGTGCAATCCTTTTCGCGCCGTAATTAAGTTTTTCGCGCGCCCTCTCCTCCAATGCCAAGTACGATACGGTACGATGGGTTCTTAGCTAGGTGTGTAGTGCGTACAAGTACGAACTCTATGGTACGTACATGATGTATTTACAGAAAGTACGTACGTATTCGTACAGTTTTATTTTTTGTTTTCTGAGTACGTACGAGTACAACAAGGTACGTACAGCGTACCGCCTACCGCCTACCGGAAGGGTCAACCCCCCCCCCTGCTCTCCTACCCCGATCTGTAGTGATCCTGGAGATTTTAACTTCAGAGAGACCTGAGACCTGAGAATGACTTCGAATTCTCGAAACTGGCCTGTACTGGTAGTACGGGTCGGGTACCTTACTGTACGTACATAGTACGAAATGTCACAGTATGGTAGGTATCATCATACCCCTGTGGTGTGATATCGATCATCGACGCTTATTTTTGCCTGTTGGTTTGAAGCTTCATGATACGAAATTGTGCGGGTGCCATCCCAGCTTTCATCTGCGACTAAATAGAATTCGAAAGCGAATAAGAAAACCACCGTTTCCCATGGTACTGCGGCCAAGTGCATCTCGACGATCGGCTCAATAGTTCAAGGTCGCAAAAAGAAGAGGGCGGTTCCGAAGGCGATTCGGAGCCAGCAGCTCTGTTACCAATATGGAAACACCGTTTCTTTCGGCGCTGCCACCCCGTCTACCGTCGCCTGAAAACGATTTGGCCGGCATGCTAGGATCTTGGATCGACAATTGTCCGTCGTTGGGCTTGTCGAGCTCCCATTGCCGTGGGGATCTTGATGCGATCGGTGCGCTTCGAATGGGCATTGCAACGAGGCTTAGTGAGCTGTCGGATTCCAAAGACGACGCCTTCGAGAATGGCCCATCCGATGTAACCATCACAATCGATATGCTACATGAGTATTACCATTATCTTTTGGAATGTGAGCAACACGGTATGGTACTAGATTCTGGTGGGCGTGGTGGGTCGTCACCCAGCAAATTTCTGGCGCTGGAATGGGAATCGGGAGTCGTAACTATGGGGCCTTTCAAGATTCAAACCTCGACCAGCCTTGAGTTGGAACGAGCGAACATCATTTGGAATTTGGCTGCGTTGGAAGCTCGTCAGGCGTCGACCCAAACTCTGACGACGAAATTGGGTTGGGCGAAAGCCTCGGAAAGTCTTCAGAATGCCGCTCGTTGGCTTGTTCACGCACTTGCGCTGTTACAGGAACACGCCAAATCGCAACAACAATACCAGAACCCACAGCATGCAGATATGAGTCCCACCTTCATTCGATTTTGGCAAGCCCTTCTTTTAGCACAAGCACAGCATTGCATTTACGAATCTGTGACTGGTGCTCATATCCGACGACCAGGGCATGTCTTGGCGTCGAAATTAGCAGTTGCAACTGCAGCTTTGTACAACGACGTCGAATTGATTTTCGAAAAGGACACACAATTACCAGCGCCCGTACTGTTACCATGGTCTGATCTCGCTCAAAGATGGGCATATTTTGCTCGCGCTTGGTGTGTGCAGATGCGCTGTAAGGCCGAGTACCACAAATCGCAAGAAGATAGAAACAAAATGTCATATGGACATGAACTAGCCCGATTGCAGGTGGCACACCAACACGCTTCAATTTGCCAAGCTCTATGCGACGAACCATCTATTTCATCGTCAACGACACTTGCGAAACTCAGTGTGGTCGTAGACGATACAATGGAACTCTTGCAGAATAGGATTGACATGATAAGACGAGAAAATCACGAGCAACACAGCCAAGCCATCCCAGGAACGCACGAATTGGTTGAAATCCGGGGCCGGAATGTTGTGAATGCAGAAGAACCCCTGTCGAACTTGCTAAGACAAAAAGTTACCCGTCCAATATTCCAAGAGAATGTAAACATCCCATTTGATAGTGGGAGCGTTCCCAGTATTGACGATGATAACGTGAAAAAAATGTCAGCAACAAAATCAAAAAATCTATCACCAACGTCATCGGCATCAATCACGTCGCCCCTCTTCGCTGAAATGAAAAAACCTTTTGTGCAAATTGTGGCTCCTCGAGTTCAAACGTATGTGGAGGTTTTCCAATCCTCGATGAACGAAATCATTTCTCAGATTGCCAAGGAGTCCGAGGAAAAGACTGAATTGGCACGTCAAGCGCTGAACGAAAAGAATTTGCCTCATTCTCTGACTGCCTACCAGCAAGAAATATCCGGTGGTGGGCTACCGAACGATTTATGGCAACGCGTGTATGTTATCCAAAAAGAAGATCGAGTTGTTAAGTTGAAACTAGATTTATGGGTATTGAAGGAAGAGGCTGAGTCGGCGCGAAAAACATATGAAAATATCAAATCTCAGCTTGATTTTCACGAAGAGACCGATCGAAAGTTCCGAGAAGAAAATTCTGAATTTGAAGGACCTGACCCTAAGGATATCCAAAGAATATTTCGAGAACGCCTTGAGACCTTTGGTACATATCTATCTACCGCACAAGAAGGTGAATCTACCCTTTTTCAACGATTGGAACAGCTGGACATCGAACCCAAATACAAGCTACTCCAGTTCTCCAAATCGCAGCTGGATCACCTTTTACCTGCCGCGAGGGAGAACACTGTTTCCAGTATGATATTCGATACACGCAAATTGAGTGCTTTGTGGACAGAACTCTCTGCGCTCTTCCAGGAACGAGATGATCTGTTGACCATGTTTCGTAATGAATTCGAAAGCTATGATATTGTTGCGGCACTGGAGGCGAGAGTGGATTCCAAAAGCGGAACAGATCAGGATTATCTAGAAGCGACGAAAAGCGCACAACAACCTTTTGATGGCTTGAGGTATAAATTACAGAATAACTTTAAGCGACAACAAGGATTACTAAACTCAATTTTGAGTCTCAACGAAGCCTTCATGAACGCAAGAGAGAGAACGACCAATTCTCAATCAGCCGACTTGTGCATTGTCATGATCGAAGATGCGATTGAAGAAATTAACCAACTGTCTACTCATTTGAAAGAAGGCAAAAACTTCTACAGTGTCGTTATTCCGAATATGGATAAACTGAAGCGCGAAGTTGGTGATAGTTTGACTAAACTAGCAGTGGATCGGTTTGATTACGAGGATAAGGTTAGGCGCGCGAGCCAGGAAGAAAAGGATGCTTTAATGGCGAAAAACTTGTCTTCTCAAACGGCTGCAATTCAGGTTCCCACGGCTGCAACTTCCTCTGCTGCGTGTCGATCTTCACCGAGTAACGCGAGCACGAGCGAATTGCCACAAGCAAATCAGCAAAGCGTTGCCGCTTCTGCTTCTAGTGCCCGGGCAATGAGGAACGTCGATGATGGAAAAGTCGCAAAATTAGTAGCAATGGGATTTGATGCTGAAACGGTTGTGGCTGCACTGGAAAAGCATGACGACAACTTGGATAATGCTGTTAATGAGCTTTTATCGTGCTAACGTGTAACTCAAAATTCTAGACAACGGAGACAAGCTATTCAAGTGACAAAATCTGTTCTAATAGTAATGTGTCAAAGAAACAGATCCAAGAAGTGTGGCAAGAATGTGGGGAAATAATGCATATTGATATTCAGCAAGGAAAGCTTCTGGTAGCCATCACTTGTGACCAAGAAAGTATTGTGTATGCACCTTCAGTTACATTACTCGTACTAGTAGTACTACTAGAAGTAAACCTTGAGTGCAATGCCACTCCTCTTTTGGTTGGAAGTACTACTACTACTACTATTCATTCTTCATACAGTAGTCCTATCCATTACTGAAAGGGTCATTAGGGGTTGTGGCATAGTGGAAGGTTATTCTGGATCGGCAAAGCTCCAATGATTATGAATTGTACCGGTAGAAAAGAGTAAAATTGACTAGATTTGATAGACTGATGGTAAAAAAATGATGTCTAGATTGACTAGTACTAAATCTAGTCATTTTGGACCTTTCTAAAATGTCTAGATTTAGTATGGAACCCGCAAACACAATTTTTTAGTCTGTTGTGTTAGCATGTGCGCCAGTAACTTCTTTTTAGTCACTCCATTGAACTATTTTAAGATAAAAATTGGTCTACTAGATAGTCTATTTTTACTAGAAACTGTCTGTCAAAAATTAGATTGTCTAGATTAACGGGAATGACGAATTCTGTTCCTTATCCGTTAGATTGACTTTAGTATTACAGGAATCAAGTAAGACGATTTATCTACGATTATATATCAGAAAGTCACTCTTGTTGACGTAGCACATCAGAAGATTCCGGGTTCGATTCCCGGGAGGGTTTCWGTTGACCCTTTGGCCCAACGGTAAGGCGTCTGACTACGAAATTATTTTGCCCGCCACGCCTCCGTAGCACTCTCACAGATTGCTCCGCGTCCATCGTGAATAGAGGGAGAATTCGATTTTTTATTCTCCCATCTCTATTTCCCCTCTCCCCCCCCTCAACACACAAAAACTAGTCCAAAAATATTTCTAGTAGCGGTCCTTTCTACTGGAGAGGTAAATTCATTGCTACTTGAGAATCTTTATTAGTGCTTACTACTGGAAAACTTCTATTACTACTTACTAGTGGTGATGTTATAGTAGTGAGCACTGCGAACTGCTGTGTTAGGGGGTTTTGTTGGTGCTGCTCCCTTCTCGATTTCAAAAAACTCATGCTACTGCTACTTTCAGCTTTGTTTGCATTCACCTGTGTTTTCAGTACTGTGACTCGACGACTCTCCGAGACCAGGAGTTGAAATATTATTTGTGGCAACCCGATCAACTTTTTCCTTATCAGCAAGTCCGATAACTTTTCGACGTTTGTCTGCCAGTCTTTCTTCTCGATGCTCGTCTTTCAGTCCGTTAGTATTGTCTGAAAGAACATTTCGCTTCTTTGTTTTTCGAGCAGAAAGTCTTAATATGTTTTTAGTGCACGCCTCAGCTAAATTCGCCAGTTCCATGGTATCTGAATTTTCTTTGGAACTGGAACAAGTCGTCGTCGGCGATAATGGATGTTTCATGGATGCACGTGTATCCAAACTTCCGAATTTTGAATTGGGACTTCTGCCAATACCATTCATACGTAATGTTTCTATTTCTTCTCGAGCTGCTTGAAGCTGCCGTTTGACTGACTTCATGTCGTGCATCAGTTGAAGATTTTCATGTTCAAGATATCGAATATTTTCTCGATGCTCGTCAGAATCCCCAGAGGCAGGTTTGGTTGCTATTTTCTCAAGTTTTTCTTGCAACTTGGCATTGTCACGCTGGTATTGGTTCAATTTTTCAGTCAACTTTTCTTCGGAGTGGGAAAGCTTCTCTATTTTTTGTTGTAATGACGACTTCTCCTTCTCATGGAACGAGTTGTTCAACTGCTTATCATGAACTTCTTCAATGGATGCTAATTTATCACATAGATGCACAATTGCATCAGTGACATTATTCCCGTGCGTTTCGATATTTATGTTGCAAGATCGCAGCGCATCAGCCATGCCTGCCTTGTCATCTTCCAGTCGTTGGCAATGCGTGGCGAATTTTCGAAGCTTTCTCTCCAGTGCTTCCTTGTCGAATCGGAGCTCGTTCACCTCCAAACTCAAGTTTGTTTCCGAACCCGCGGTAGATAATTGATTTTGCAGCCGATCGATTTCCTTCTCTAGATGCAAACATTTCTGTTCGTAGTGACTTCTGTGTGAACTCATGTTGCCTTCCGATCCAGTTGTCGATATGTGCTTCTGTAATCGACTTAAGTCCTTTTCAAGCTTCGAGCATTTCTTTTCGTACTGTAAATTATCAGTCTAAGAGACAAATGTTCAACCAAGCAGTGCATGTTAGTCAAGAAAGGTCCAAAAACAACAAATAAAAAGGTATTAAGATTTCCAAATTCAACTTACTTTCATCTTTTTGATTTGCGCTAGTTGATCCTTTGTCAATCTAACAGCTTCAAGTTTCTTGATTCTTTTTTCCTTTTGTTTCATAAGCTCGTTCATTTCGTCCAATTCATTTTTCATCATTTTCATTTCTTTTTCAGTTTTCCCGAGCTCGGCCTCGAGAGTTGAATCGGTTTCTTTTCGTATTTCTAGTTTCAGACAAGAAATCTCATTACTCATGATGGCAACTTCGCTCTCCCTTTTCTCAAGCTCTTTTTGTAGCTCTTTGGCCAAAGTCTCGTTCACCTCTAGGTCCTTCAGTTTTTTACGCAATTTCAAATTTTCTGTATGGTTGGCCTCGTTTAAATTCTCGAGACTCACAAGTTTTCTACGAGTAGTAGATAACTCAGAATTTGCAATCTCGTTTTCTCTGATTGCTTTCTCACTATCTCGAGTAGCTCTTCGCATTTTTTCTTTCATGTCAATGGCCGCTTCTTTCAAAGCATAGCTCTCAGACTTAGAATCGTTCAATTTAGATCGAAGGGTTGCCATCTCTTCTTCCTGTCGTTGCTTCGACGAATCGGAAGAACTCAATTGAGTAGAGGTCTCAAGATATTTTTCTTCCAGGCGATTTCTTTCGTCAGTGATTTCTTCCACTTGTTTTCTGGCGGCGTAAGCCTCTGATTCACTCTGATTTAGTTTTGTCTCGCACTCTTCCAGTTGCTTTCGCAAAGCAGCCATCATGTTCTCTCCTTCCTGGATCAGTGCTCGTTGCTCTTCTCTCATTTGCTGCTGCAACTCGTTTCTTGCATTCGTTTCTTCTTGAAGGGACTGCTCAATATTTTCTTTTTCTCTCTGAATTATTTCGAGCGACACGAGGAGGTCAGCCTTACTCTGCTCAACTCGGCTTAGTTCGACATCTACTATTTGAGATTTCGAAAGCTCTTGTTCGATTCGAGATATGCGGTGCTGAGCATCCTCTAGTTCCTGCGTCTTAGTCATATTTTCTTTCTCAGCAATTTTTAGTGCATTCCTAAGTTTTTCTTCTGTCTCGTTGACTGATGCGAGTAGGCGTTTGAGCTCGAGGTTTTGAACCTTCAACTCAGACACCTCCTCGAAGAGTTCACTTTCCTTAGCCTTTGACGCTGTTTTGTTGCTGTTCAAATCACGGATTTCGTCATATAGTCTCTCTAGTTCACTGGTTGCCTCATCGCGTTCAGCCTCGCGATCTCGAAGGCTTTGAATCATTGAATCACGAGAATTGATTATGTTTTTGACCTCATTCTTTGCTTCATCACGCTCCGCCCTGCAGTTTTGGAGATTTCGAAGCATCTCGTCTCGAGAACCTGCCATTGTTTCGATATCTTTCTGTATCTGAAGAAATGCAGTGTTCTTCTCTTGGAGTTTCCTTTGTAGATTATCAATCGTAAGCTGCAGCTCATTGTTTCGGTCTTCGAAGGACAGGACCTCGTTAAAAACAGTGCCGATCTGCTCAGATAAATCCGTTACTTCTTCTTCATATTCAGCCACAGTTTTCTGAATTTTCGTTTGTGCCTTCTTGAGAAATTGTTCCGATTCTTCCAAGGCACTGTTTCTTTCCGTCAGCTTTTTGTATTCGATCATCAAGCACTCAAGTTCTTCTTCAACTTCAGCATTTTTGCATTCCAGTGCTGAAAATCTATCATGCATTGCTTCATTTTCAGTAGTCAATGACTCGCATGAATATTTCAGCTCGACATGAGATGATTCCAACTCCTCTTTCTCACCAGTAATTTGCATTAAATTAAGCAAAAGGGTCTCGATTTCATTGTTGTGAATCTCGACATCAGCGGAGAGTCTTCCAATCAGACATTCAAAATCTGTTGCCTTGTTTTCAAGTTTCTCAGCTTCTGAGATTTTAGTATCGAGCTTCATTTGTAGTTCCTCTCTCTCGACTCGAAGCTGCTTTATGATTGAGTCTTTGCGTGCTTCACCACCTTCAGCAGAGGCAAAATTTTTCTCAAGTGTTTCGATCTTGGTTCTGTACATTTCTATCTTTTCTTTCAATTTAGAAGTACATTCATCCTTCTCTTGTGCAGAAACGCGTAGCTCTTCGATAACCGATTCTTTGGAAGCATGAATATCTTCCATTGATTGGATCCTAATTTCTAAACTTTCTTTCTCGAGAGACAACATTTTGACTTCAGATTCGGCAACTGTTAGAATATTCTGTAAATCCTCAGCTTTCTTTAATTCCTCTTCCATTTTTTGAGAAAGGCTCTCCCTGGCAGCTTGGAGCTCCTCCAATGTTGCAATCTTTGCTGTGGTGATATCTTCCATTTCCTCAAGATGAGTCTCAAGCGCTGCCTTCTCTTCCAACAATTKAGCAAACTCAGACTCTTGCTGTTCTAGTTTGGATTTGGTAACAATGAGATCGTCCTGTAGCTTTTGGTTTTCTTCTGATGATTGCTTCAATTTTTCATCCATCTGTTGAGAACTGGTTTCCTTCTCAGCATGGAGCTCCTCCAACGTTGCAATCTTTGCTGTGGTGATATCTTCCATTTCCTCAAGATGAGTCTCAAGCGCTGCCTTCTCTTCCGACAATTGAGCAAACTCAGACTCTTGCTGTTCTAGTTTGGATTTGGTAACAATGAGATCATCCTGTAGCTTTTGGTTTTCTTCTGATGATTGTTTCAGTCGTTCTTCAAGATCTCCATTAGCAAGTTCTTTGTCAGCATGGAGCTCCTCCAACGTTGCAATCTTTGCTGTATTAATATCCTCCATCTCCTTCATATGTGCCTCAAGCGCTTCCCAGTCTTTCGAAACCTTCAAAATTTCGGATTCTTGATGTTCAAGCTTTGATTTAGTGTCGGATAGGGTTTCATGCAGATCACTGATTTCCTTTTTGTAACCTGCAGCTTCTGTCGCATGATCTTCAGCTGCTTGCTCCTTGTCTTTGCGAAGCTGCTCAAGGGTGACATCCTTATCTATCATTTCACCCTCGATTCCACCCATGGCAGACTCAAGGATTTTCTTTTCTTGAGATAGTTGCGCACAAACAGCCTCCTGATTTTCGAGCTCAGATTTTACTGACGACAAAACATCGCGCAATTCATGAACTTCAGCGGTAGCACTTTCAATCTGCTCTTTGAGCGGACCTATAACCGAACCCTTTGCCTCGTTTTCTTTTTCGATTGATTGCGTTTCTTTTCTACTTTTCTCGAGTTCTTCCTTGAGTTTGGAAAGTTCTGATTTCGTATTCTCCATGGTCTCTTTCATAGCTTCGAGCTCATTCGTGGCGATATCATTTGCTACAGATAATTCTTTATTTTCTGCCTTGATAATTGATACTTGTTCTTCTGTACTTGCTATCTGTTGCTTCAAATCGAGGTTTGCTTCTTCACGAGCTCTAAGAAGCGCTTGAGCTGAGTCCTTCTCCTCGAGCATAATTTGTTGACGTTCTTCAAGACTTTCAACCTTCTCATTCAAATCTTCCATGTTTTTCTGGTAGTTTTGAACTTGATCCTCAAGCTGTTTCTTTTCGGTAGAAACCAATGTTAAAGAAAGTTTGCTATCCTTGATTATTGTCTCGAGTTTTTCTTCTAACTGCTTTTTCATGGCTGTCTCTTCCTTGACTTGTTGCTCCATTTCAGAAAGTTGGGATTGGAACATTTTTTCTAAGGATTCAGTTTCTTGCTGGGTTTTAGAAAGTGTGTCTTCCACTTGCTTTTTCATTCCTGCCTCCTCCTGAAGTCGTTGCTCCATCTCAGCAAGTTGTGATTGGAGATTTTTTTCTGCGGATTCATTTTCTTGCCTAACGTCGGAAAGAGCTTCTTCCCACTGCTTCTTCGTGGTCACCTCTTCTTGAAGTCGTTTCTCCATTTCAACTAGTTGAGATCGCAAAGTTTTCTCCAAGGACTCCATGTCGGACAGTTTTACCTCTAGATCCTTTCTCATAGATTCCTCTTCTTGAAGTCGTTGCACCATTCCACTCAATTGAGACTGTAGAGTTTTCTCCGAGAACTCAGTCTGTTGCTGTGTGTTGGAAAGTTTTTCTTCCAACTGCTTCTTCACGGTTTCCTGTATTTCAAGTTGTTGCTCCATTTCAACAAGACGGGATTCCAATGATTTAACAAGAGATTTATTCTCTTGCTCGGTCTTTGAAAACTTATCCTGCAGGTATACTTTTGATTGCGTCTCTCGTTCGAGAGCTTTTCCCATCTCGTCGTTTTGAGTTTGTAGCGATTGGATCGAAGTAATTAAATCATTCGACTGTCTTTCATGCGATTCTCGTTCTCTCTCGAGCTTGTCTTCAACAGAAGAAATGCGTTCTTCAAGAATCACTTTTTCTCCTTCAACCTCGGCAAGGCGAGCGACATTCTCTTTGCTATTATTCTCAAATGCTTCATTCTGCCTTAATGCCTGCTGAAGTTTCTCGAAAAATTCGATGACTTCAGAATCTTTTTCCGCTAGTGCCTGCTCGTTTTCTTTCAAAGATGAATCAAGAGTTTGTTTGAGAGATACAACCGTTTCTTCCAAATCCATGATACTATCTTTCGATATCTTACTTTCTTCGATCAAGGTGGTGTTGTGAGCCCTCAGATTTTCTAGATCACAATTTTTCCCCTTTATCTGTTCTGAATACTGGCTGAGTTTTAGATTGAGATCGCGCACAAAACTATTCCGAGTGGCTAGAGCCTCTTGTACCAGCTTGAGTTCTTGTTCAATATCAAGCCTTTGATACTGCAATACGTTATTTTTGTGTCTACGAGGAGCTGTTTTTGGCGATTTGACGTCAGCTTTATTCATTTTCTCTGGTGATAGAAGACTGAGTAGGAGATGGCCGTCAGATTTTCTCCGCTTCTTCGTCTTCTTAATATGGTTTTCAGAACTCAAACCGGGCACTTGATCAATAATGTACCCCGTATTCAGAATAGAAGCCTTCAGGCGATCTAGCTTTTTCTTTGCTTCCATTGCCTGCGTCCCTGCTGTCGCAACTTGGGCTTCTAAATCGCGAACTTGTCCCTGTTCGACGCCCGATTGATTGCGCTTAGCTTCAGCAAGTTCTTTTTGCAGCCGTCGAATCATAGACCGCTCGTCCAAAACTTCATTCACTTGTGCATTTGTTTTGACGAGTTTGGCACGGGAAGCGAATTGTAAAGTTGATCTTGTTTCTTCTAAATAAAGTTCAGAGGGAGTTGCACAGCAAATGATGGCCATGCGTGCGTTTCCGGAAAGCGATGGTTGTAAAATTCTCGTCAACTTCGAATCACGGAAGTTGACATGCATCTGATTTGGAGCTCCAAGTGCTACAATCACACGTGACAATGTCAAAAGGCTAGAGAAAGAAAAGTGGGCAACTTTAGGAACACAAAAGATTTCAGCGATAGCACTACAATTTCTGTTTCATGACTCGTACCTCTGATTAATCAGTCCTCCTTCTTTTTGACGCTCACCGGTTGCCCCGGTATGCCGTACACTCTCCGACCCAGCCAAATCCACTAGATTGAGAGTGGAAATTCGTACAGAACCATCACCACACGAGTTTCCGACTCCAATATCCATCATATCGTCATCTTCCTCCTCCTCTTCAGTTTCAAATTCTTTTTCTCGACTTTCGATCGTGATTCGGAGAATGGTATGACTACGAGATGATCGCTCGTTCATCCCGGTGGCAGCGAATGTTCGACTCTTATCTCCACGACCTAGGATCCTTAACAAACCATCAAAATTCGTGACAATCTCCTCTTGAGATTGAACAAAGACACCGTGACGAGGATCTTCCCTGATCTTCAAGGTTTGGTTTACATCGCCAAGGAGATCTCGAACTTCTTCGTTGTAAATCTCTAGGAAACTTACCCTCACGAGAAAATTGCGTTCTTGTTTCTGGGCAATTTGAGAGAAGATGTCATTGGCTGCCATGTGAACTACACCACCTTCGCCACCCATTCCTTGCTCAATATTTCCGGCACCTTGCATAGTGTATGTCTTACCGCTAGAGGTCTGTCCATAGGCAAAAATAGTGCCGTTCAATCCATCAACCACAGAATTCACGATTCCTTGTGCGACGCTTTCATAAACTTGTTTATTGTTTGTATTTTCCCCAAATGTCTTATCGAAGGTAAAAAATGTGCGTCCTGTAGTGCGTTCTGGAAGAGGCTTTCCATCTCGTGTTGTTTGTGTAATGGACGAATACTTTTGTAACACTTTCCAAATGCGTTTGTTATTCTCCTCCGCATTGTTCAGTGGACGCATACGGATGGCAACTGTCGATTCAAAGATAAATTCATTGTATAAACACAGAGCGGAAATGCATGACGGTTTGGTTTGGTTAGAATGCAAGTTAATTCCAGAGGCAGAGGATGACTTAAATTGAAGAATCTCTACTTCGTCAATGCATTCCTATGACACTGATTCGAAAACGCACCCGTTATCCCCTCTTGACTGCCATCGTCATTGGACCCATGTTCTTTCGCTAAATTCATTGTTTCGATCAGCGTGTTTTTATTTCTGCGTTTGTTTCGTCCTCGTTATCTATATCCTTCAGTACCAGGTCGTATTGTACTTGTTATATTCTTCTCCTGTCGTCGACCAAGTCAATAATGAACAACACAGACGAGTAATCAGATTTCTCAGGTTTCGAAAACGGAAGAAAGGATATGCAACGCTAACACTTTTTAAGTAGCGAGTTGCTCCGTTGCCTCGAACCCAGATGATGTAGTGCGTCCATCGATCCCTCATGCTGAAGCCACATAACCGTACGAAAGGACGCTGCCAGGTACGAGCATGAAAAAGGAAAATCAGTTCCTAAAAATCTCAAATCAGGAAAGTTCGTTACGAACTGGGGGGTTCATGTTCCGTAGCATCACGGTTTGGAAATCTATTACTTGTACTCGTACCGTAGTACCATACGTACGGTGACCGGTAGGGCAACTTTTTTGAAAAAGGGAGGCGAACCGTCCCATAACGACTTTTTCACAGACTAACGGTCGTCCATCAGCTTTACGCGTGGAAAATAATAATAAGAAAGTCGCGTCACACAACGTTGACGAAGAGATGCGCGAATGATAGAAATACCGTATGAAAAAATAATGAATGCATCCTTTAGGCATAATCATTTTTTTGGCATGCAAACAGAATGTGGTCAGCATCCATCTGCCTTCTCGAACATCTTCCTCGTCTTTCCGATCATTGTCATTGTCTCCGAACTTGTCTCATAATTTCAAGGAACCAAAAAACAGTGAGCAGAAGATCCGAGGATTCTGATTGGTCAGAATTGCTGTCACAACGACACGAACAATTAGGGTGCTAGAATAAATTGCTCCCTCCATCAAATTTTTAAGGAGCAACAAAATTATTCTGCCCGTGAGCCCACGCACGAAAACCGTGCGACAATAGTTTTGACCATGGTGAGCCTTGATGGGACCGGAAGTTCCGACGATGGCGACTTCGCCTTAAATCAACCAGGATTCGAGTCATCGGCTCGTTTTCCATTACACGATTGTTGCGAGTTCGAAGATGCAGATGTTCTGAAAGTAAGTAGGATTGATGTCCTTTTAAGCATACTGCTCTTTCATTAACTTGATGGACTCCACGTACCGTTTCAACTCCCTCCCCTGTCCATTGCTCGTCGACATTTTGGGTTTGATGCGCAATTTTTAAAACGCGCGCGAATACGGCAGTCGTGATGTGATCTCACCTAGTTTTATCTTAATTTTTCAAAAATTCATTTTGTTTGAAGAATTTGATTTTCGTTCCTGTTGAAGGGGACGACGATTCTGACAGTGAAAGCGAAGGAGGGGACTACGATGATGGGAAGGGACACAATACAGGCGATGAGGAGGAAGAAGACGATGATTCGGTGCTAGATAATGCATCTGCGAGTTCGTCGTCGTCGGACGAAAATGATTCTTCAGCAGCAGCTCATGCAGCGGCCATTGGACACTCTCCGCAGCCCATTCTTCACGGCAAGATCTCGAAAGAGGCTCCGTCGTCAACAGAGGAAGAAAAGAAGAACAGCGAAAAATCGTCGCCTGCAAATGGATTAAACGAACCACCAGAAAACGAAACTCGAGGTGACAAAACTTCAAAATCAGAAAATCAAGACAAGAGTACCACCCACGAGGAGGGGAACGGAGAAACAGCAGCAGACGATCCAAAGAATTCTAGTGTCGGAACAGCCTCTGATGAAAATTTGGGCGATGATGACGATGATGGCATGGATGTCGAAAACGACGAGACGGGTACGACAAATACTGCAACCGAAGGAGACGTCGAAAAGAAACCACAGGAGGCTGACTACAACCATCACAAGCAGAGCAAACCCGTGAAAAAAAGGCGATACTATTGCCCTCACAACTTGAACGAACGCGATGAGGATGAGAATACTCCAATTCATGTGGCAATTCATTGCCAGAAACTTGAGCACGTCAAATTGTTGTGCAAAGCAGGCGCTTCACTAATTAAAAAAAGTGACGGTAGTCCACCAATTCACGTTGCTATCAGTATGGGAGCCATACCTAAACATAGAGAGTTTGCCATTGAATGCGTTCGAGTGCTGTACAAGCACGAGGCAGATTTAGCCGCAAAAGATGATGCTTTGCATACACCACTATCTCTGGCTTGCATGTACAATCTCCCAGAAATCGTCTCTTTCATCTTGTCTACTGACGTCGGATCATCCACAATCAACGCAAGGGCCGATCGCTCTCAAGGGCGAGCCTTACATATGGCTGCGAAGTTTGATACCGTGATAGCGAACGCGAAGAGGACGGCCGTCGCTACGAAAGGTCATGCACGTGTAGCCCATGTGCACCACCCGGATGGATCTGTAGTGAATGCCATGCACCAAATCCCTGGGTTCCCAGGGAAACAAGCAGACAGAAGCACAGACGTTACTAGCTCGATACAGAATCCAACCCAGGAAACAGTAACGGAAATTCTTCTGAATACTCCTGACATAGAGACGGATGCGCAAAACTCGGTAGGACAAACTCCATTGCACGTAGCATGCGCAAGAGGCAACTGGAATGTCGTTCGTCTCTTGCTAAAAAAAGGGGCAAGCACTGCAATTGCTGACCGCCGAGGATTCACGCCAGGTCAACACGCCCACAAGCGTGGGATGCCGATACCGAATGATTTGTTGAAAACACTTGGCGGGCCTCCGTCATCGGGGATTATTCCTCCTCCTCGGGACTTGATCGTAGATCCAGATAACAACACTATCGTGATCACACATGAATTGTGTGGGCTTCACCGCACGTGCCCACCAATCCGTCGCGGTTCCAACGACGAGCCACCACCTGAGAACGTCCGTCGGCTGAAGGTGCTAGTGGACAAAGAAACGGGGATTCTTAGGACAGGGGAGTTCGGAAGATGTAAATGGGAAAACGAAGGCAGGCGAGCCGCGCTCGTAGATGTATTGAAGGTACGTTCGTGAATAGTGCCTTCGGATTTTATGTTTCTGTTATGAAGTTGGGCTCCTAATGATTCCTTACCATTTTTCAACGAAAATTCTTTCTTTTTAGTGTCACGAATATAGTTATGTTGAATCAATAAGTCAGATGTGCTCATCCATACCGGATCATCCCTCGGCAGTTGCCAATCTCGACGCTGACACAACTATGTCTCGTTGGAGTTTTGAAGCAGCCTTGCGTGCTGCTGGTAGTGTCTGTGAGGCAGTTGATAAAGTTGTATCCGGCGATCATCAGAATGCTTTCTGTGTAGTGAGGCCTCCAGGACATCATGCAGGACCAAGGGGTATTGTCCGTTGTGACAACGATCCAGATGGCGGATCGCACGGTTTCTGTTTCTTAAATAATGTTGCGATCGGTGCTGCCTATGCAAGGTCTATGTATAGGAATGAAGGGATTCAAAAAATTGCTATTGTTGACTTCGATGTCCATCATGGGAACGGTACAGAAGAGATAGTACGACAATTAGTGCCGACTGTGGAAAAAGCAGCCATTCGAACACCTTTTGCTGTAGGAGAATTGGCAACACAGCGGTATAGGCCATGGCTGGACGAAACAGACATACAAAATGTCTTTTTTGCATCGACCCATGGGTATGGAGCAAGAGGTCTAGAATTTGAAAATACTCCATCATGCGGGTGGTTCTATCCGGCATCTGGCAAATCTGGGATTTCAGATGCAATAAATAACCCTACCGTAGTGGAAAGTCCGAACTTGACGGACTTTTTGTTGAGTCAGACCTGGACCCGAATGGGAGATGACGCGAAAGGTAACTGCTGTAAGATTATAAATTGCGGCCTAAGTCTCCCATCGCGGGATGCGATTCCCGGAATGCAACGGCTCGAGGTCCGTGATACTTATCGCAAAAAAATTCTGCCTCTGTTGCGAGAATTTGACCCAGATATCATCTTTATTAGCGCCGGATTCGACGCGCATAAAAAAGACAGTATGAATTTCGGTTACGTCGGTATGGTTGAGGATGATTACGAATGGGTGACGGAGCAACTCGTCAAGCTTGCCAACACTTGTTGCAACGGACGGATAGTTAGTGTATTGGAAGGAGGTTATAAGATTCATGGTGGAATTGTAAGCCCCTTCGCCCGTTCAGTCGCATCGCACGTTCGTGCTTTGGTGGATGGAGGTTTATCGCGTGAATTATATGATCTGCAGGATGGGGAATGGGAATCTCAATTTGAAAGACATTTGATCGACGAACGAGAACGAAAACGTCAGCAGAAATTGGAGAAAATGAGAATGCTCGAAGCTCAATCACGTCGAGCGTTGTACGGCGACGATAATGGAGTTGACGGCAACGGCGACGATACTCACGGGCGGAAACGAAAACGAAATTCTGTGGATTATAGGCAGCTTTACGAGCAGATGAAGAAGGAGGGGTTTGCTGCATGATGGTGTCATTGCGCAGTTATGCAGAAGAGATTACCACTGAGACAACAGTATATAATTTGCTAGTCATTTACCGTATCAGTCTTTACATTGAGAACGTACCAGTCTTGGCAAGTTGCTTTGTTGGCTAATGTATTCGAGGTACTCAGGGACGGTTCAGTTCATCTTTGAGCGATTCAACTCGATTTCATTAGTGCAAGCGCCGTTAAAACATACCTCTCCATGCATCAAGATGGTTTTTCTAGTGACACTTTCAATAGCTAACAGCTTGATTAGAGTCACCAAATTTCCTCAATCAAATACTATTCTAATCAGTACTACCCAGTTCCTTATGACTCCCAAAATCAAGGGGACATAACATGAATCACATCGATTTCATTTTCCGTGGCAACATGCCGCGGGTGCAAAAACATGGACGTGTGGAACTTATTTTTTAATGGCTGACCCGTATAACATTTGGCTATTCTTCGAAGTATTTCGATCAACCTTCTACCGCACGTTTGCAGTTAGACGAAATAATAGCATCGATGATCCAATCATGCACATAATCAGTGCTTATCACGTTACAAGAATGACTGTGCACTTCCGATTGAATTAGTGAGAGAATAAATGGATGGCACAACTCTGCCAAATCTCGTAGGCCAGAAGTAAGAAAATGCTTGACGACAAACGCTTGAGAAGGAGTTACTTCAGATTTGATCCAAAAGAAACCGTCACATCTTTTCCCCTTCTCTCGGAAGCGGTCGTATAATATTCTTTTCAAATCAACGGGGTCGGTAACGTTGGGCCAACAATATGAGAGGGATGACGAAGGCCATCCGATTGACATTCCCTCGCTGATCAAGGCTACGTTTTTCCGATGTCGCGAGGTTATGTCCCCTAAGCATTCCGATTTCGCCATACAAAATGGTATCAGTGAATTTCCTAAAGATTTTTGAAAGGCAAGTTCACATGCTTGCCAACTTAGTGGCATTTTCCATGCACGAACGGCAAAAACAACCACGACCTCCGTTGGATTTTCCAAAAGAAATCTTGCAATTTCATGAAGGCAAACTTCCAAAGGAACGCATAGAAACGAATGTGATGTCCAAATGAGACCTTCTGATTCCGTCAAACGTAGGTCGAGAAAGCGGATTCCGTAACATAATTGATCGTAAATCGAATAGTCCTGAGTTTTTGCCCAATGTTTCCCAATCCAGCAGTATGGATGCCATGGTTTGAACGTGTAAGCAGCAGAATCATGGCTTGCTGGTATGATGATGTTGAACAATAGCTTGTCGTGAAAAGATGCCATCCATTTGCATCGTTTCGTCATCGACACTGCGCGCTTCAAGCGAACACTAGTTGATCTACGACGTGGCTTACAGAATCGCTTCAAACAGGTGTTTGTATCCTCATTCGGTTCCGATGTACTGGTACAGTTACCACCAGCGGAATGACCTGCTATTTCTTTCATCTTAAAGGAAAAAAGTAAAGTGAACAAATTAATGCAATTTTTTTCCGGTAGAAAAATTTGCGGTATCGTACTGTACCGTACGGTATGAACTTCTTCGATTCATCGGTCGCTAGCTCGCACGTAGTGGCGTGAGACGTGGGACTAAATCACGAGTGGACCCCACCCACCGGTGCGGTGATAGTTTGGTTTCTACTGTATTACTGTACTAGTAGTATTTAAGGCATGGTGTGTGGCGTGACCATACCAGAGAGTAGTACCACTAGAGCTACTAGTAAGTACAATGCCAGTGCTTGCAAGTTAAAGGTAATTCCCGTACAAATGGTAGTAGATTTTTTTCTCATTTTTCAGGTAAAACCCGTTATGTTGACTGTCAATGCAATAAAAACCATTAAAAAATGTCATTCAACTTTTGAAAAAATTCTGGCGCAGAGAATCATGCTGGCTGAGGGCCATGCCAGGATTTATTCACCATCTGAACCCATTTTACCCCTTGCTTTGCCTGAGTTTTTTTCAGATTTCAAATCTTCTTATTATAAAACTGGGCTCCTCCATATCAGTGTCTTTCTTATCAGCATACTCTGTATCAGTGTCATCATCTGTATCAGCATACTTGTTGTATCAGCATACTCCGTATCAGTGTTGTCTGTATCAGTATACTCCATATCAGCGTACTCCGAATCAGCATACTCCATATCAGCAGCATCCTCCATTATCTGTAGTATCAACATACTCCATAGCAGCAGCGTCCTCTGTATCAGCATCCTCTGTATCAGCATCCTTTGTATTAGCATCCCCTGTATCAGCATACTCCATAACAGCAGCGTCCTCTGTATTAGCATGATACTCTGTACCAGCATACTACTCTGTACCACTACTATCAGCCTAATCTGTATCAGTGTACTCATCCTCAGTATCAACAACTCATAGTATCAGCGTACTCCTCCATAGTACTATCAGTGGCTCCTCCTTATTATATCAGCGTACTCCGTATTCTTAACAATGTACTACTCCTCTGTATCAGCAACCCATATCAGCGGCTCCTCTGTATCGTATCAGCAAACTTGTCAGTATCAGTGTACTCCTCTATATCAGCAACTCATGTCAATGGCTCCTCTGTATTGTATCAGCATACTAGTACTCTGTATCAGTGTACTCCTCTGTACTATTGGCAACTCATATCAGTGGCTCCCCATATCAGCGAGTTGTATCAGGGAATCACTGTGTGCTCTGTACCAGCATACTCCATATAAGTGTCTCATAAATTGGTTGATTGTTGCTTTTTGGAAGAACCAACAATGTTAAACCTGAACTACTACTACWAGTAGTACAAAATCACCATCCAGTGAATCAAAGATTACATTCCTCATTCATAACACTGATTGACTTGAAGAAATTGGAGTCCTTTACTAAGTATCTGCAAACACTGCCCTTATGATGACATGTCCCACTTCTGTGCTGATGAGGATCATCACATCCATGATGAATATGCTCTCCTCCTACCATTGTCCCTGACAAGTCAGTAGACATATTAAGCTTGGCACTACACCATTCAGACAGATTAGTCTGTGATGAATCAAGTGTGCCTCAATTGGATTGACTTGAATGCTAAACAGTTGGTTGTTGATTTGTAAGTGACCCCTAATCACTTGAGTATCTGCAACAACTGCAAAGAATGGAAACCACTTCAGAGTATCTGCAGCAATTGAGTAAGTATTTGCAAACGCAAATAAGTGTTGAATGGTTTGCACATTGGTCCCTTGAGTAGGAAGCATCTGCACACCAGTCCCTTGAGTATTTGCAAATGCAAACAAGAATTACTTGAGTATGTCCGCATGCCAGTCCCTTTAGTATCCAAAGGGTCCGCACGCCAGCTCCTTGAGTATCCACAAAAGCATATTGTTTGAGTATCAAATAGTCTGCACATTGGTCCCTTGAGTATCCAAAACATCTGCACGCCAGCTCCTTGAGTATATGCAAACGCAACCACTGTTTGCTTGAGTATGAGAGGACTTTTAGCAGTAATATCCATTTCGCTCGAGTATCCACTAATGCAAACACAAATCGCTTGAGTACAAATGAATGCTTGTAGAGGGGTTGTTTTGCTTGTAGATGAGGCGTTTTAATGTGTGTGCTTGTTTTTGGTGGTTGAGAGAATAGGTGCAGCATTCTATGGAGGTATTCCAGTACTGAATCCACTGTAAAATAACACCTTCATACAGTGCATAAGGATTTATACTACAATACTGCTGTAATGTACAAGGGGTACATGCACATGGGAGGCAAGCCAGCTGGCCCTGGAGGTTAGGAATTGCCTCCTTTTACTTGCCAGCACTGGAATTGTACTTAGTAGTAGTACTAGCTCTGCTGACGAGTACCACACCACAGGTGTTCATCATGGGTTTTTAGAGCAGTTTTGGCATTAATTTAGAGTTCAGGCTAATCTTATTCCTCAAACTACTAGTCAAAAATGAATTCAAACTAGTTCAAACAGAAAATTTGATCTATCTTCACCACTCCCAAATGAAACTCTATGATTAAATTAAAATAGTCAAAACAAAAAAAATTGCTCTTTTGACACGTGAACAAAATCTCAATCCTCATTATCAGCCAATCTGATTGCTGGATTCTTACCGAAATATTAGTATTATCCCTAACTCTAAATTAACGCCAAAATTGACGTAAAATGCCATTTTTTTGTTTTTTGTCAGTATGAACACCTGTGACACGGTACCGGTAGACCGGATAGGATTCCGGATGTTGCACCAAGACAACCAGACGAGTTGGTACGAAATTCGACACAGCAAGTTTCGGTCGTCCAGGTTGAGCGAAGCGAATATATTGTCACTAACGAACATCGAAATTAGCGAGAATCTCCCTTTTTTTTGCCATGGACTTCGGTGGTGTAGATGTTGATGTGGGTGTGGAAGTTGGCAGCGGCTATGGGCTATTTCTGTGGGATGCAGCAAATCTATGGATCGGACGAATTTTGGTGACCATAGCAATTGTTGTTTTGTGGGATTCATATGTGTCAATCTTGGAACGGAAACAAAAGTATGAACAGCAACCGCAAAAGAAGCAGCAAAGGTATCGTGGAACACCTGGACCCAGGAACACCGACGGGCAGCTGAACGAAGACGTGTCGGTTCTGGAAACACCAAGAAAGGAGGCGTCGGATCGATCGGTACCAAAAACGACGATGCACGACCAGGAAAATGAATCCGTTGATGCAAGCAACGTTTCGACACCAGTTCCGGCGTCGTACTCGTCAACAGAATCGGAAAAACGATTGGAAAGTCCTACAGCTACAGCGGCAGCTGCAACAAGCGTCTCTGCTGCGAAAACAACAGAGAAAAAGAGCACGTCAGAAAAGGCAGCCATAGTGGCACGCACCCAGGCGGTGCGAAAGATGAAAGGCACGTCGAACGAGCATCCCGGAATGGAGGGATTTTCGAACTGGTACGAGGTAGAAACCTCGCTGTTCCGGATCTATACACTGGCGCCCCGCGACCCATCTGTTGTGACGATCCCGCCCTATGTTCCACACTCCCGCAGGGGTGATGTTTCTATCGAATTGGAAGTCACAAACCACACAAACTACAACATCCATGTCTTCTGGGTCGACTACCACGGAAACCTTGTGCGGAAGGGGAACATTCCCAGAAATCGTGGTGTTTGGAAACAATCTACTTATATTGATCATCGTAAGTGCAGGCGTGAATAAGAATCTGCAGGTCAGTACAGACCAGCACATCCATACATTCGAATGTACAAATGCGTATTTTTCCGGTTTGATACTTTGTTATTATTCTATTCATTGACTACTGACTGATATGGGTCCGACAGGGCAAGTCGAGACAATCGTCAAGTGATTTCATATCCGAAATTTCTGCGATACGACACCTCATTGCTTTGTTTCTCTCTCAACAAATATCCATCAAATTTTAATCGATCCATCATTCGAACTTGAATTATGCGTGAACAACATTGTACGCTAATGCATTGCAATGTGTCAACAACATTGCACGCCGATACATTGCAATATGTCGCATTTAGCCTGGGTCTTCCAAGACGCGGACACTGCGCAAATCTATTTATATTACGTACCCTTTCGGGCAATTCCAACCACACCCGAGGTATCAACGATTGGTTCCGACGGCACTACTGCCTTGCACAAATTTGCACTCATCAACGATTGGGAAAGCGCTTTTTACATTGGAATCCAGGACGACGTTTTGCCCTTTCCCGGAACCGCCCGATTGCAAAACCCCCTTGACGCAATCAACTGGACGCTAAAGCACATGTCGCGTGCGAACACTACCTTTAATCTCCTCCCCGATCTTGATACGCTCCAAGCCTATCTGATAAATGTTCTGCAGCACCCCGATCGCGTCAAATACCGACAGCTGAGAATTGCATCGCCCAGGTTTCGAACTATCTGGGCCTCACCCCTACGCGGGGTGCTATTGGCGGTGGGCTTCGTTGAGGCAGGACCGTATGCCGAATTGGGATGCGACCGACCCTTGTCGTCCCAGCGTTTGCAAGACGTGGGACTGTTGAGCTATCTTCTGAACGAGTGGAAAGAGAAAGAAAGTGCTGCTTGATGTGGTTCGTAGCTTCTGGTGCAAGCATATACAGTCCAATCTGAAAAGGAGCTCCGCAAATACGCTAGTGTTGTATGTATGGAGTCCGATGCCTTTTCTTCTTGCTTTCCAATCTCCCTGTCTACTACTGCCTCCGTCCAGTTATAATAGTACACTTTGCAGTACTCTATTTTTCCAGAAATAATTGTCCAGTATGCAATGGCCCTATAGAATGTGCAGAATAAGTACTACAAGTACTACAACTATTGTGTCACCGTTCATATTTAAGAGTATTATTACTATTACTATTACTATTACTATGGGTACCAATGCAGCACTGACTACTACTAGTATTGGTACTATTGTTGAAGTCTCCTGCCATTACTGAACTTGCAAAGGCGATCTTTTCTTGGTTGCAAGTGATTGAAACTGGAATCTCCCCTTCACGAGAAAGCTGTGCTTTCCAAAGGTGTCAAATCTTATAAGTGTTGTCACCAACACCAAGTGACTCCTCCATTGCACACTGTAGTGACAAAAAAATTCTTGTGTAGAGTCTCACATTTGGATTCTTCAAATGCAGCAATCACATTGGCTATCAATGTGTCAATATTAGAAGACGTATAGTGACTTGGACGATGATGAGGTGATAAGCGGGTAAGTCATTGGTTGCTCATGACGTGCGAAATGTTAATGTGGTCCTTACTAAGGCATGTTAGGGTATTTACAGTAAAAGTGAGGTTGATTGCTGTTATTGCTCAATCTCACTCACTAGCCACTCGCGAAAGTTATTGCGTCGTATTTGAGGCTGAGTTAGTCTCCTCACATGTTCATCGTTGAGTGACAGCTGTTACGAATTAGTAGTACCAGATAATTCGTAATAAAATTACTCCTAAAATTAACAATTTTTGACCCCTCACAACCTGTAACTTCCGCAGACTAGTTCTAAGCCAACAAAGCATCCTTAAGCATCCCAATGACCTGGTTTTTAAAGTAATTGTATCATCTTGGTCTGGGCGCTTAGTCCGGTGGTCTCAAGTTGTTTTTTGATAGAGTTCTGGCCTATTTTCTAACCAGCAGCCGGTCTCCACTGGCCAAATTTGGCCATACCGGCTGTTAATGGAGAACCAGGTCCCCCTTGGCCCCTAATCATGTAACAATGACACACAGCACTCTTCTTAACACTATGACCGAGCATATCCTCCCCAAAGGGGATCTCATTTGAGCCGGTTCTTGAGCACTTTTAATGGCCTCATAAACACTGTTTGTGGTCAAAAAGTGACCAAAAACTCGTAGATCTATGTAGGATCAGTACTAAATACTGGGCTTCAAAATTAACCGTGATTTTACTAGTAATAATTTTGGCGTTTTGAGTAGAATGCCTTTTTTCTATGTAGGGCGTGGTAGGCTTTTTACGGTTAACGCACTTTATATCGAATTAACTGGTACTGTACGCTTTTTCGAACGGAGAAACAGTTCTTAGTTTACGTATGTACTTATGGTATGAGTTATGAGACAAGATTTAATGGCATCACAATTCACAATTCACAATATTACGTACGAGTACGTACCAACTAGAGTCCACATATGTACATTAGAATACTTCTCGATATTTTTGCTTAGAAGGATACTATTTATTTCTCACAAAATGGTTTGAAAGTCGAAAAATTGAAAACCACGTTCCGAGTGCCGGTGTTTTTCATGATCATCCCAAAGCAACAACATATATCAATGCAGAGGACGAAAAAAAAGGAGGAGAAAGCAATCATAACCCGAAAGAAAGAAGCGTTCGCGACGATCGTTGATCTTCCTTGGTAACACAAAATAAATAGCAATCATCTGTATTTGACGGGCCTCAACACGTAACCGATTGATAGAGATTGATTTGTTAGGTCACCTGGAAGGAACAAAGGGGAGTAAAAAACCAAATACAAATGATACTAGAAACGGAAAAATAAGTTTTTGAAAAAAAATAAAACGGACGCTGACAATGATTTACATGCAACACCCACGATGCTGTTCCGTTGTACAAACATGTTTTCACGGCTCAACTTATCGATAGAAGAAAAAATCACGAAACCAATCTTCAAACTTATTTGATGAATATGTTTTCTTCAAACCAAAATATGATTTTCATAACTTACACGACAAATTGAAGGATACAAATATAGGAGGTCAAAGACATCCCTTCTGGAATTGTCAAGATCAGTTCCTCATTAAAAAAAAACTGATAATTCTTTAAAGCTGTATTGGCTTCTTCAATTCCAAGGAATAAAACTGATAGTGATTGATTCTATCTATCAACAGGATGAAGATAGCCTACCCCATCATATTTTTCATGGCAATTAGCAAGAGTGCCTTTGCCCTTATCGACGATGAGACTAACACCAACACCACTTCTTCCAAGGTGATTCAGGATAGAAAGAAGTATCTTTCCAACGCCGACCTTTCGATCAAGATTGATCGTAACGACGAAGATGATGAGGATGACGATGATCTCATCGATATTCGTTTGTCTCACTTTCCCATACCTTCTCCCGATTCGTATCCGATAGTTTGGGATGGCATTAAACAGAATACCAATACTCCCATCAACAGATCACTAAAAGGAAGCAAGAAAGAAGAGAAGTCGTTGAAGTTTTCAAAAAAGGATAATTTGGATACTTCGAAGAAATATAACGAGCCTCCGACCAAAGCTCCAACTCCCATTCCTACGAACAAGCCCACTAAACCTCCAACTAAGAGACCAAAGAAGAACAAAAAATCAGAAAAGAAAGAATCAAAGAAGGATGCGAAGTCTGATAAAAAAGGACCGAATCCTACAAAGGAACCGACGTTGTCTCCTAAGTCAACTCCTGCGCCTTTTAAGGCAACAAAGTCGAAGAAGGATACTAAAAATAGCAAGAAATCAAAGAAAGATACCAATGAGCCTACACCAGTTCCATCTTTTGCGCCAACTCGGCGTCCTACTCCGGTTCCATCTTATGTGCCAACGAGACGTCCGACACCAGTTCCGTCTCCAGTGCCAACGAGACGTCCGACACCAGTTCCGTCTCCAGTGCCAACTGGACGCCCGACTCAAGCTCCATCTCCTGATCCCACAAGGAGCCCGACACCTATTCCGTCTCCAGTGCCAACTGGACACCCGACTCAAGCTCCATCTCCTGTTCCCACGAGACGCCCGACACCAGCTCCATCTCCAGTGCCAACTGGACGACCGACACCAGTTCCGTCTCCAGTGCCAACTGGACGCCCGACACCAGCTCCGTCTCCTGGGCCCACTAGACGTCCGACTCCAGTTCCATCTCCTTGGCCATCTAGACGTCCTTCCAGACGCCCAACACCAGATCCGTCGCATGTGCCATCTAGACGTCCTTCCAGACGTCCGACGCAGTCTCCTTCTCCTCGACCATCTAGACGTCCTTCCAGACGTCCTAGCACCGCCCCCTCCCCCAAACCGACGGAAGTCCCCTCTACTTCCCCCTCTACGAGACCGACGATTAAACCGTCTGCGAATCCAAGTGCCAACCCAACCGCTGCTCCCACCAGTATCATTCCATCCACATTTCCAAGCATTTATCATAGTGCGAGACCTTCTTTGAGACCCTCGAGAAACCCATCTATAGTGCCCAGTACAAGTCCATCGGCAAAGCCGAGTGCGAGCCCCTCGATTGTACCTACTGTAGTTCTATCTAGTGAAAGTCCATCCGTAGAACCGAGTGCAAAACCGTCAGGAAAGCCTTCAGCATTTCCCAGTTCAACGCCATCGCTTGCACCGAGTACAAGTTCATCATTGGAACCCAGAGCAAGCTTATCGGTCCAGCCAAGCACAAATCAATCGGAAAGTCCATCTGCTGACCTTTCGAGTGCTCCTAGTTTCTCACCAACGCTGAGCACTTCTAGTGAATCGTCTGTGTCATCCAGCGAAATGCCATCTTCTGTTCCTACCGACACTATTGTTGGAGCTCAAGGCGCTGCTTTTGCAAGTACAGGCTTGATTGGGGCCATGGCCGTCTTGGCACTTTTGATTGGAGGTGGAGTTATGTTTCAATGCACGAAAAAGAAAAACCGAGAACATACTGACCATACCTTTGACGACGATGACGATGATTTCATTGATTTCGACAACGAGTCATCTACTACCCCGAGATTTGGTGTCCCTTCGTTCAATTGGGGAGGCCTGGACAACGGTCGAAGGATGAACGGAGAAATCCCTGTTGGCGTCGAAGACACCTGTAGATCTTTTGAAGAGGATGCCTATGAATAGGGGAGCATAGAATTAAAGAAAGAAAAGGATTAGAAATCCGAAAGATAAATTCAGTGTTGTTTGTGTCGTGTAGATAGCGTATGGGTCATGTAAAAATAAAAATGATGTCATAAATTACTCTACTACTACTACTACTACTACTACTACTACTACTACTACTACTACTACTACTACTACTACTACTACTACT